CCTACTTCAATCACTCGGCCAGATTATCCAGTCTTTAATACAGCTATACACGATAGAATATATAATATATATATATATAACTGGTATAAATAACATAAACGTTGTACATATTTTCAATCCAGCGCACACAATGTCATTTTTAACCCCAACAGAGCACACTGCATCATTATTCAAACACTAACAGAGCACTTTGTATCGTTATCAAAACCCGAACAGAGCACACTGCATCGTTATTCAAACCCGAACACAGAGCACACTGCATCATTATTTAAACCCGAACACAGAGCACTTTGTATCGTTATCAAAACCCGAACAGAGAGCACTTTGTATCGTTATTAAAACCCGAACAGAGCACACTGCATCGTTATTCAAACCCGAACACAGAGCACACTGAATCATTATTTAAACCCAAACAGAGAGCACACTGCATCGTTATTCAAACCCGAAGAGCACAGTCTGTACATAGTAAATGTTTATTTGACTTTGCTGCAAATCGTATCGCCTAGCAAGCAGTTTAATTATAGGTTTACTTGAATATAACAAATACAGGTTGCCATGTAACGAAACATATGCCAACAGCAGCTAAATCGTGGGCGTATAAAAAGAGATGTTGACAATGTTCGATCGCAAAATTCTTGTACATGTTCTAAAATGTATCTCAAATAATAACGATAGTTTGACATGCAATGACACAAAAACCCATAGCATCTGAGTTATCTGAGCAGTCGACAAGGGTTGTCGTATATTTAATGTTTTGTGGGTAATAGGAGAATTTAAAACGCACTAAATAAAAATGATCAAGAGTAATAAACTATTAGCTAATTAAGTAACTAATCAAAATCAAAATTTGACTGTCTTCTAGTTCTTCATTAGGCTAACATTTACCGGTGATTATGATAAATTTAGCTGTTCGAGCTAGCGTAAATTTGACTGGCTTCTAGTTCTTCATAAAGCTAACATTTACTGGTAATTATGATAAATTTAGCTGTTCGTGCTAGCGTAAATTGTTGAAAATTAATTGGTTTCATCACATACAAACACAGTGAATGCATTTCACTATGTAGTCAATCAGATGATAACGTTAGCCACTAGAGTGCCCACAAGCTTTTTCAAAGTGAATGTGGGTCATGACAATGATTATCCGAAATCGCTCAAATGGACAGGCTTCTTCGTCTCAAAGACTATAATACTGTGTTTAAATTTAAAGTCAATCGAATATTAACTTTAACCTATAATGTTTGTGGAGGCTGTACCGGCCACTATACGACCACGTGTCATTATTTAAAGCAATCTGGTTAAAACATAGATCCTATTTCGTTTCGTTTTTATAGTTTAAAAATTTCGTTTTACTTGTCATGTACACTCGGCAAACCTCTGCAGATTTCGGAACCCTACATCTAGCCTCGGCTGTATGACAGTAAGTGATATGTACTTACGCCTATACATTTGCGATGCGGCACCGGTTTACTTATAAGGGAAACTTGCCCGCGTTTAGAAAAAAGTTCTCTAAATTGCGTCGTTCGAAGAGTGTGTAGAATTTTCAGTGCAAATTTGTCCTTGTCTAGAGAAAATCGGATAAACTTGAAAGAAAAACAGCTTCAAATTTTGAAAATTTTGTAAGATAAAACATTCTTCAAATACGTCGTCATCAATGACGTCATTGGTCGTCATGGACAACGCCATTGTAATCCGGGAACTTGAAAGTAGTTCTAATGGCGGACTTTGTCATACAGCCGAGATTAGATGTAGGTTTGCCGAGTGTTGTCATGTAGTGTAGGCCAGTGAAAGTATAAAAAACGAAACGAAATATAGATCTGTATTTTATACATATTGTATTTAGAGCGGCATTAGGTCAGATTAGATAAAGAGCTGGTAATTCTTGCTCTAACAGTTATAAAATACATAATTAAACGGGAATATGTTTAAAATTTCAGTCAAATTATTTCACTCTGACCCTTGCTATCGGTCATACAATTATAATCTAGCCTCGATTGTCATTACTGCCATTTATACGATAATAAACAAAGTCTCGATTATCCATTTTTATCCGGTAATCACATCAACCGAAAAACATATTTAGATGTAGATAATATCGGAGCCATCCGATGGCATCGAGAGTTGATTATGGTCTTGGTAAGTTAATTAATGTCTAATAGTTTATATAACATTTAAGGCATAAAAAAGAGCTGCAATGGGTAGATCTAGCTCTTGTATAATGTATGTTTAAATAAGATTTAACTAATTTCATTATTTTATCAGATTTGAAGATTCAATATGTAAGAGCTAAATCTGACAATTCCAGGTCTTTTTCTGGCTTCAAATCCTATATCAATTATTTAGACATTTATGCACATGACGAGCCTATAATCAACTCTTTAGACCATCACATGATTGTTGACAAGCCTATAATCAACTCTTTAGACCATCACATGACTGTTGACAAGCCTATAATCAACTCTTTAGACCATCACATGACTGTTGACAAGCCTATAATCAACTCTTTAGACCATCACATGACTGTTGACAAGCCTATAATCAACTCTTTAGACCATCACATGACTGTTGACAAGCCTATAATCAACTCTTTAGACCATCACATGACTGTTGACAAGCCTATAATCAACTCTTTAGACCATCACATGACTGTTGACAAGCCTATAATCAACTCTTTAGACCATCACATGACGAGCCTATAATCAACCCTCTAGAGCATCGTATGACAAGCCTACATGTATAATCAACTCTCTAGACCATCATATGGCGAGCCTATAATCAACTCTCTACACCATCACATGGGGTGTCAATAATCAACCCTTTAGAGCTTCGTATGACAAACCTGCATGTATAATCAACTCTCTAGACCATCATATGGCGAGCCTATAATCAACTTTCTACAACATCGGGTGGCTTTGAAATTGAATGGGTTAAACAATGCCCATAATAAAAACATTTATAATAGATGTCGGTCAATAAAAGGACTGACAATCGAGACTTCGTTTATCATAATGGCACCGGTACTTGACACTCGGCTACCTCTTGTCAAAAACTTCAAACACTCATAATTTCGCTCAGAATAAAGTAGTTTGAATGAAATTTTCAATATCTTCATTTTTCATGATCTATTTTTGAACTATTATAACAAGAATGGCCAGCTCTTTATCCCACATAATGCATCTTTAGTTAATTTGATTATTTTTATATATCCATCAGATGTGATTATTTTGTGATTATTTTTATATTTTATTCTATCTGAATAAATACTGTGAATGAATATACACTAAAATAGTTGAAATGAAATGGGGCTTAACATCCCAATTCTCTGCACTGACTGGGCTAATAAGAGAGCGGAATACGTCGTATAAACAGTGATTGGTGTAGTGCACAAGGCAGAATAAGCTTACATGAAACCACTTCTCATTGCTAACATTGTCTCGGTTTCACAAAACATCCTCAGAATTAAGTTAAGAATTTACTCAAAATTGTTGGTCCGGTCTTAACTGCCGTTTTTAAAGCTTTTGTTGTTTAAAAGTATCATATACTTCAATCCGAAACTATGTGCAATGTTTTGTGTTTCTGGATCAATGACATTTCTTATAAAAAGTGATTGAAAGTTGAGTAAAAAAGTGATTGAAAGTTGAGTAAAAAAGTGATTGAAAGTTGAGTAAACTCTTTAAGTCTGAGAATGCTTTGTGAAACCGGGACCATAACTCGATTTAAAAAAACCCAAAAACAATAGAGACCGGAAACCCGAGCACAACGTCATCGTCGCTAACTTAGAATTATGACGTCGATTGATATGCAATTGTCCAAGGAACAAGCACGTCAGCTTTCCTGTCAACCGTACTTTAATTGACAGAGCCTTAGACTTACATCGTAGAGCGTCGCCACCAAGAACAACAGTAGTAGAGCAGGGGTCTTTGTCCTGTTACAATATGATTAAAATACAGATCTATATTTCGTTTCGTTTTCTTTTTATATACTTTCGATGGCCTCTACTACACGAGGGTCTTACCAGTTGTAGCGGGAGGTCGTGTTAGGGGTCATTGAGCGGCTTTTGACCCTATGACGTCAGACATTTGATTAACCAATCGGCGTTAATGTTTATTGCAGGATACCCACAGTTTCGTGCATCGCACGCCAAGAACTCGCAGCAACAGGCTGTTTCATTGGATAATCAGTCACACCAACCAGAACAAAGGTTATATAACAACTCTTCCAGATCCTAGTGTACTAAAGACAAGTAAAACGAAATTTTGATCTATAAAAAACGAAACGAAATAGGATCTGTGTTTTAATTAGATTGTGCATGTTATTGATTCGCTTTAAATTATATTTTATTACAAAATAGCACTTGAATGAAGACTAAAGTTCAAGAAAATAATATTCTGGTTCACAGACATTTCTTCACAAACCGGTTTCATTTTTATTTTCACAAAGGAAGATGTGTCTACGCAACACCATATTTCAAGCCAAAACATTTATCGCCAGTTGTTTTTAGGAATGTATGATTATCCAGAATCATTTATGACTGCCAAGAACATTGATCAGTGTTGCGCACTTGATAATTGAGACTTCTAATTTCTGTACTTGGTTTGCGTGGAGGGGTGAAGATATGATCATGGGTGGTGGTACTCTAATTAAACAGATCATGCAATCCTGTTAATGTGTCAAGGGACTATCTCAGAACCAGAATATTTTTTTCAAATGGCCTAAACATATTATTTCAATCTGATAAAAATACAGATCTTTATTTCGTTTCGGTTTTTTTTATGCTGTGGTTATATAACAACTCTTCCGGATCCCGGTGTATAGACTGGATAACCTGCTCTAATACGTCAGACTCGCTCCTGCGCCACTCCTTTTCTGACTTGCATATTGAAGTCAGAATAGCTCAGTGACGTAGGAACAAGCCTGACGTCATTTAGAGCAGGTTGTCCAGTCTACCCGGTGTAGTACAGAGAAGTAAAACGAAATTTTGAACTATAAAAAACGAAACGAAATAGGATAGGTTTTTTAATCAGATTTACATTGTTTATACATATTATTTATTGACATAATTATAATTTATCTGAGAAAATATATTCAATGAAGATTACTATATAAAGGTATGGCTATTGGGCTACTCGATTGAAAATTCCGGGATTTTATTCTTTCAATGCCAAATATAGACAATCGAGTAAAAAGTTGGAATACAGAATACAATTGATATTCGATTAGCACTGCTCACACCGAGCATAACTGATTAGAAATCACAATAAAAAATTTAAAAATCGATTGGTAACCACTTTCTATAGGCTCATGTGCTTTAGGGGCCGTGGTTGTTTGTGTAAATGTTCCACGGGATAGAGTTATACGCTATCTAAAAATATATTGTTTTGTAAATATTATTCAAATAAACTAATTGAGAATGAAATCAATTTAAAGTTTACAGTCCATTGATTTCAGACCACCATCTTAAGTTAGACAAATACAGTAATATTAATTAGGGCATTATTTAGGCAGGATTGTGTTTAATTACATTAAGACAAGATATAAGTAAGATAGATTATTCCATTTGCTAAATATGCGTATTGTCGGTTTTTATTTTGGGCTCCAAATGTTATATGACCAATATTTATACATTTATTCAGATGATAAGCCTATAGTCAACACTCTAGAACATCGGATGGTGGAAATTCAAAGGATTAAAAACCGATCACCATTTAAATTGAAGGATTTAATTTAAAAATGGAGAATGAATAACGATCTATCCCACGTTGTGTCAAAACTTCAAGCAGAAATAACTTTGTACAGAATAAAGTAATTTGGATATCATTTCAATTTTGTATTTATTATCACAAGAACAGAACGGCCATTTCTTTATTTAAATCTTATATAATGCATCTTTAGTGTCTCTTTAAATTCCAGTTAAGATAGAGCAACATTGATTTATTTAGGGGGGGGGGGGGGGGGGGCTTAATAAAATATTAAAAAATTGAAAGAACAGCAAGAAAAAGATCAGACCAGCAGCTTCATATATCACTTTAAATATTCATAATAAACTTATAACGAAATAAAAATATCTCAAAATTTTACAATCTAAAATCATTCTACATTTTACACGTACAGAATTTAACTATTTCACAGCACAATAAATACACACATGTTAATCCAATAACCTAACACAACACTAACAGTCAACGAACGTTATTCATCTAACCCTAATAAAGCCTGGTCCATTAGTTCATCATCAATTTCACACGGAGAGTTCGTGTTTGAGATCGGACTTGTAGCAGAATCAGGTGGAGTTACTTCCTTTAAACTGGACGAGGATTTTGTTTTTACTAAAGAACTTTTTTTGGCGGTAGCGACGTGTTCGTCACTCAGGTCTAGTTTAACACTACATGGATTGTCTGTGCGTGGTTTTGGAGACGGACCGTCATTTGACGTTGGCGTGCCGTCACAATCTATCACAAGACCGTTATTTTCCGGACTACTAGCATCACTTCGCGGACTCATATTGTTTTTATTTGGCGTCACTGATCTACACTTGGGGCTGCCAAATTCTTCCGCTTCCTTTTCAGGCGTTTGCGGCTTTGGGGTCGGAACTTTGAAGTGTTCTTTCTCCTCTTTGTGAATCTCTCCATTAAATTTCGGGACGAAAGGAGAACCATGGTTTGTTATTTTAGGAGATGGAATGTTTTTTTCGGAAATTGATAAATCTAAAACTTGTGGTATAGGACTCACAGTTTTCGGCACTGGCTGAATACTTTTCGATTTCTCTGGTTCGGATTTATTAACATTACTAGTCGTACTTGTTGTAGAATTAGCTAACGATTGGCTACTTTGAACCAATCGTGGATCTTCGCGAGTCAAAGAGTTCGTGGGTGTGTGAGATCGTTCACGTTTGGGAATAGAGTCATTGCTCTTGCTGCTTTTTTGCAAGTTATTTTCATCAATAATTGGCCCAAATTGGGAATTTGAACCTGTTTTAAGTATACCGGGACTAGATTTCATTGAAGTGGGACTAGCGACACGAGACGTTTTCGACGACGCTAGCAAATTGTTAATACGACTGGATGATAAAGCAACAGATTCCGAAGACGAGCGAGATTTTCCTTGATTTGACAATGTGTCGGCCATATTGTTCACTGGTCTTTTATTCACATTGGTGTAATCCCCCTTAGTCACTTTATTAAAGCCATGTGCCGCCATTGTTGGCGATGATTTCTGCACAGGTGGTTTACCAACCGAATTTTCAAAATTCCGCGGTTTGTTGCTGTATTTTTCAATGTTAATAGAATCAGGACGCATAGCTTTCCGATCTGGGAAATCACTTTTAACTTTTTCACTGCTCACACTTGCATTCCTTTCTAATTTATTTTCATTTTTATTAAAAGTTCGAGGATCCCGACTATTCGTCGTCCCCTCGCTATAATTACCAGTCTTTGATGAACTCTCCGTATTTTCAGTCACCGAACCAGAACTTCCGGTAGCCTTCGTGAGCTTATCAATGACGGCTGATAAAGACCCTCGTCGCCCACGCACCATGGGTTCAACGTTCGTCCTGCTCTTATTGGACGATGCCGTTTCATTAGCAGAAGTAGCAGAAGTAGAAGAAGCAGAGTTTGATTGAGTGAGAGTATTAGAAGAAGAAGAGGAATAAGCTGATGATGAAGATTGGGATGGAGGGGAATGTAAAGCGGAGGAGTGAGAGATAGAAGATGCCTGAGATGAAGATTGTGAAGAAGATAGTTTTGGGATGGGAGGCAGACGCGCAACTTTACTAGCAGACGGGGCATTGGGTAGATAAGCAGACATTGACATACTTGTGTTCTGGTTACCCATTGTTGAGGTAGATGATGATTTGGATAAATTCGAACTTTTACTCGAACTGTTGGAGCTGGATCCAGCGCTACGACTGGAGGAGTTTAGCGAACTTGCTGATTTGGAGCTGGATAGAGAACTTGATTTAGAGGAACTTGATTTATTCGTGTTTCCTGCTCCACTTCCTTTATTCGCAGAATTGTACGTTTTATTCAAAGAACTAGACTTCCCTAAATTGCCCAGATTTGGAGAAGATGTCTTTCCCGAAGCACTTAAAACAGGTGAGGATGTTTTTCCCGAACTTAAACTCGGAGAGTTAATTTTACCGGAACCACTTAAACTCGGTGAATTAATTTTTCCTGATCCTGATAAACTTGGTGAAGATATTTTACCTGTAGCACTTAAACTAGGAGAAAGAACGTTTTTACTAGAAATATTCGGAGAAGCAGTTTTTGCAGCACCCGTTAGATTAGGAGATGAAGTAGTCCTACCAATACCACTGATATTGGGTGAGGATATCTTCCCCGAATTAGTCACAGTTCCTGAACCACTATTTTTATTTGAAGCACTCAAACTTGGAGAGGATGTTCGGTTTCCTGAAAGTAGTGTTTTACTCGAGTTGCTAGATTTTGTGAGTTTGATTTCACCTGAGGTTTTTCCCGTAATACCAGCAGATTTTTGTCCGGCGTTAACAGTAACTGAAGAACCTGAATGAGGAATATGAAGAGGTTTTAAACGAATCGTTGCCTTCGCAAGTTTCGGATCAGATTTCCCACTCTCTGAGCTGCCCTGAGAATTTGCGGATAACTTTGACCGATGGGGTGATTTTTGAATTGGTCGCTCTTTCGTCGTCTCCTTTGAATCTTGACGCGATACCACAAATTTCTCCACCAGCTGTTTTCTCAACATTTCTCCCGCTGGCGGTTTTTCTTTTTCAGGAGAAATAGGTGTCACCACCGGTGGTTCTTTAGCCACCCGTATTTTTAATTTGGTGACGGTCCGTTCATCACTCTCCACAGAACGATACAGGGTCTCTTTAACTGGTTGCACATACCGATTGCTTTCATTCAGCTTACGCTTTTTCCGTTCTTTTTTCGATTCTTCTTTCAGTTTTTTGCGCTTCACAGATTCTCCTTTTGAGCTATACTTAGCCTCCTTTCGTTTATACTTATCACTTTTCTTGAGCAGAGCATCGTGCGAGTTTTTTGACTTGTTTGATATCTGAAGTCTCGTGGGAGACTGAGAATAAACTGTCATTGATAATCGTTCCGAACTGATCCCTAACGTCGGAGGCGGTTCGTCGTCCGATTCATCACTCCGAAAATCGTAAGTACACGATCCTGATTTCTTATTGGTCACAGGTTCACTCGAGTACGCAGGGGAAGAGGAAGAAATTCGACTTTCGTTAGAACGCAAACCAGATGCTGATAGTTTTAATTTCATGACTTGATTACCAACACCGACTTCCGATCGCATCATTTCACCCAGTTCAATTTTCTCCTTCTTCATAGATAACTGCTCGCCTTTTAAATTTTCCAACTTTTCAAAAATCCCAGTAAATTCTTTTTTCTCGTTTTGAATATCTGAATTCACTTTAAGGCTGCCTTTTCCGTATGGCGGATATTTTGAATCGAGTAAATCATGTTGCGATACACGATGACTTAACAACTGCTGTACCGTTTTAGCTTTGTCCTCTTCTTCACCGAAGAGTTCGTTGCGCAAGTGTACATCAAGGGTCGAGTTGTAACGCTCTCCTCTTTGGTTTCCCGGCTTGGCACTGAGTAGGGATGCCGTTAGTCGGTTGGCAAGAATAGGGTCTTGAGCCTCGTCATTATCTCCCACCTCACTGAGGAGACCCTCAAGAGAGATAGAGGCCTTCTCGTTTTTTGAACTCTGTGGTGAACTTCTAGAAATTACACTCCGTCCTCCGAGATCGTTTTCCGCCAGCAGTGCTGTCAGTTCAGAGTCTTGGATACTGTTCTGACGGCTCATGTCTCCTCGCGGAATCAAGCTATCCACGCTGTCGGCCAATTTTTTTAGATTAGATTCTGCCCCGAATGCATCTTCAGTAAGATCAATGACACTACCGAGAGATCCCGATGCTTGGAAATTACTCCCCATTCCGCCTCCTCCACCACCTGCGTCAAAAGGGCTACTTGAATTATCCATGTCAAAGGAATCCATGCGATCCATTCCACTGCTACTGTCACTTATTCTATGCTTAGGACTCCTCCCAGAAAACACATCGGATGCAGACTTTCGTTTGCGGACCCGTTTTTGTTGAATTTGGGGTTTTGTAGTCATAGGGGGTTGTGGTTGGGGGAGCTGCGGTTGCGGGAGCTGCGGTTGCGAATGTTGCGGATGTTCTTCTAAAAGTCTGGACAACATGGGACTATCTGTCATGTCTGATGGTTGTTCACCGTCGTGATCTAACAATGTGGCTAGCAACGGAGTCATCTTTTCCACGCGATCACCAACGCCACCTCCACTGCCAGGTGGAGATACCATTTCGTGATTGCTGGAGCGTATGTCTGAATATGGCGGTGGTCTTGGATAGTTGTCCATTGGATGGTTATTTGGTAGTATAGCTGGTGGGTGTATTTGTTGTTGAGGAGGGGGTATGTAAGGGGGTGGTCGGGGTTTGACGACCGGGGGTAAAACTGGGGGTTGCATGGCGGCTACAGCTTCTACTGTGGCCTTCTCTAACATGTCTTTCCCGTGTTTTAATATGGATCTCACTGTGACTGGTACGGACATACATCTGAAATGTAAATACAAGTATATCAAAGTAAAAAGTAGGTTGCCAGACAATGAAATGAAATGAAATGAAATGAAATGAAATGGGGTTTAACGTCCTACTGTTCTGCTCCTAACCTGGGCTAATGAAGACGGGCATACGCCATACAGTGTACTAAGAGGGAAATTTGCCTGGACAAGTACAAGTACAAGTATATCAAAATTAAATAAAGTGAAAGAGAAATAGGTTTTAACGTCCACTTGACACAAACTATGTCAATTAGGGACTAACATACGGTTCAATTTATTCGCTAGTGCGTAGGGGTATTCAGCAGTGGGAGGAAATTGAAGTACAGGGAGAAAACCCACGAAGTTGGGCAGGCGACTTTACTGAGTTAGGCCACCCACCCTGATTCCAGGAAGTAGTCAGGTTTTAAAGGTGTAATTCAACCATGCATCCCAAAATGGTTTATTTATGTTGGCAGAACATAAATCTGGATATACGTTGTCACTGATAGTCTAAGGTGTCTTATGACAAGGACTACAAAAGAGGCCTTATGGCAAAGACTACATGTACATGACATTTTACAGCAAGGACTACATGACATAGTATAGGAAGGAATACATGACATCTTGTGGTAAGGAAAACATGACATCTTGTTGTAAGGAATACATGACCCCTTGTAAGGAAAACATGACATCTTGTGGTAAGGATTACATGACATCTTGTGGTAAGGAAAACATGACCCCTTGTAAGGAAAACATGACATCTTGTGGTAAGGATTACATGACATCTTGTGGTAAGGACTACAAGTTTAAATTTGATTAATGTTCACAGACACTTATCTCTCATTTGTCTCTTACTTCAATTGCTATATTATCCAGATTAAACCAAAATGACTAGATTATCCAGCCTCTACCACAATGACTAGAATATCCAGCCTCTACCTCAACAGGAACATTATCCAGCCTCTACAATACCAAGAATAAAGGATAGTACAATATCTTACCTTTGAAATATTTTTGAGGCGAAATCATCAGTACAGAGACTGAGTTCGGAACTTGTGTTGACACGACATCTTAAACTGGTTATATCTGATAAATCCATCTCAACTAGAAAATATAATAATAATAATAAAATAATAAGGGTTCTTATAAAGCACTAGACTCCAAACAGTATTGTTTGCTCAAAGGCTAACAAAGTTTACAGGAAATAGTTATATAACTTATAAATATGAACACTGAAACAAGTAAGTTTTCAGTTAAATCCTTTAAATAAAACAGAGTTCTATGGAAAACAATTACTATATTTCTATTTTAATCGGAGCTACGTTTCTAAGATGATTCTCTTGTGGTTTTCAAGCAAAATACTGACAGAAGGAAATATAAAACTATGTCTATTTACATTCTAACTTACTGATCATACTGACCCAAACAGTCGACAATATCTATAGATATATTTACTAGTCAGTTAAAATCAGTCAAATTATATCTATAGATATATTTACTAGTCAGTTAAAATCAGTCAAATTACATGTATATCTATAGATATATTTACTAGTCAGTTAAAACCAGTCAAATTATATCTATAGATATATTTACTAGTCAGTTATTTCTGTTACATATTTCTCGTGATTAAGTTTCTCTTTTTCATTTTGAGTAAGGCCTGTATCATTATAGGCCCAATCACGGAACCATTCACATGTTTATATTATTGTCTTAATTTGTCTGCAGGTTTGTCTTGTCTGCAGGTTTAGGTTTGTCTTGTCTACAGGTTTGTCCTGTCTGCAGAGGTTTGTCTTGTCTGCAGAGGTTTGTCTTGTTAGTTTTGTGTGTAGTCCTATTCTCCAGTATTATCTATTAGTAATCAGACAGATGCCTGATTTTAAACAATAACAATCACTTGTAAACTACTATATTTTGAAAGATGATTCTGTAAAATGAATGTCATTCTAAAAATAGTTCCGTTCGGTTCAGTATTTACAAAGAAGATGTGTGGAATAGTTCAATTCGGTTCAGTATTTACAAAGCAGATATATGGACTAGTTCAATTCGGTCCAGCATTCACAAAGATATGTGGAATAGTTCAATTCGATTCAGTATTCACAAAGATATGTGGAATAGTTCAATTCGGTCCAGCATTCACAAAGATATGTGGAATAGTTCAATTCGGTTCAGTATTTACAAAGAAGATATGTGGAAGTGAAATTACATGGATCTAAATACTATTTTAAATCCGATTGAATCCAATCGGAGAGATTATCTAGCGTTGGTATTTTGATTTTGTTTTTTTAATTAAATGTTAAATAATCAATCTGGAGTACATATTAGCGTGGATTAAGTCGTGATAAATTTGATATTTTAGAGAAAATACAGAAGATGTATGGTTCCTTTGAGAAGGTGTTAAATTATATACTCTACATATGGTGATGTTTAACTTCAGATAACAGTTCAGGTAACATATACAGCTGTTTGAAAGAAAGGAGGAATAATCTGTAATTACCTATAATTAGACGTGTTCATAAAAAAGAGATTTTTTTAAAAAAAAATACCTGTAACTATGGCATCATGTGCTGGATGTTCAAAGGTAACCATTAATTGCTGCATGGAGATTGTGGTTAGTTCACACACTATTGAATGAGATAATTCTGAAAATAAAAAAATGCATTGATACTTTTTGTTTTAATTTTAAAATTTTAAGGTCAGATCAGCCGAGTTGATGACAAATGTACCATAAATCTTTTAGGAAATCTGGAATGACAATACTAGTATTCCATTGATCAAACATATTTTCCGGTAAGAAAAATATCACTGAAACTATCTTTATATTTTTCTATAGGCTTCACATTTTTAGGGGAGAGAGAGAGAGAGAGAGAGAAATGGGGTTTAATGTCCACTCGACACTAACTAGGTCATTTTGGGACTAACATATGGTTCAATATTATTTCAATAATTTGCTTGCACGTAAGGGTCTTTAGCAGTGGGAGGAAACTGGAGGACCCAGAGAAAACCCACGAGGTTGGACAAGCGACCCTACTCCTTGTCACATACAACCGGGGAATCAAAACCACGCCAGTAAACTCAATGACAGACCTTATGATACAGCGCGCATCGAAAACATGCCAGTTGACTCAATGACAGACCATATGATACAGCACACACATGCTAACCATTCGGCCATCCAACCCCCACACATTTTTAGAAGTCCCAGTTAACCATTTAAATGCAATGTAACATGTGTCAGTCACTCTGGTGTCTCCTAGAATTTAGTTTCAAACACACCTATTGAAACTTGACATACATTTTCTTGATCTATCCAACATGCATTATAGGAGATTAGATAAAGAGTAGACTGTTCCTGCTATAATAGTTTAAAAAATGGATAATTTAGATAGAATCTTACGTCTTACAATCACTCAACTACAAGACGATCTCTATCTAAATCTTATATTTTAATGTATTTTTAAGGTACATTATGTCTACGATTACTCAACTACATGTAATTACATGTTTCGTTTGATTATACCTAATCCAAATTATGACTGGTCAATAATCCGATTAACAATCAATAGCTAACTGCGTAACAATATCGTTACATTTTAAACAAAGCTCCAAATATGTTTACATAACGTTACGTCATGACTCACGATTTTATTATGCCCAATTAACCAGTGCATCGCAGAATATTGCAGAAAAACTAATTGCGTGACAAACGGCGTTCAAAACGAATATAATGTAAACAATACTGTTTGGAGATGAACAATACTTTCACCATATTTAATACCTTAAATCACTGTCCAAAGTTTTAGGGAAGACCCCCAGATTAAACGAAGGGCTGACATGTTGCTGTACTTGGGATAGATTTGATTGAACAGGAAGAATAGACGCACTCCCTCAAAAGCTCAAGTATCAGAAGCCAATCCAGCAATGGCTAGATAGGGATTTCTCGGGCCATTGCTCCAATAATAGGGTTTAATCGATGACTAAATCTCACCTGGTTTAGAGTGTGGCCGAATCATATTACTAACGACTGTGTTAAACAACAGTTGTTGACGTAAATGGTTTAATATGTTGGGTACGTTGGTTGGATGAATGAAAGGAATAGTAGACACCATTATACCAGGCTGATCTAACGAACCACCATTTACACCGTTTAAATAATATACATGATGCTGGTCGGGTAACGACTGAAATAAAACATATAATATATCGACCACGATCAAAGTTATACCAGGAAAATACAATCTGCTTAACATACAGATCTATATTTTGTTTCGTTTTTTTATACTTTCGATGACCTCTACTACATGAAGATCTGACAAGTTGTGGTGGGAGGTCGCGTCAGAGGTCACAACTCACAAGAGCGGTATTTTGACCATATGACGTCAGACATTTGATTAACAAATCAGTGTTGATGTTTCTAGTAGGGGTACACACAGTTCTGTGCAGCTCACGCCAAAAACTCGCCGTAACATACCGTTTCATTTGCTAATCCCTCACTTCATCCAGAACGCTAGTTACAAAACAACTCTTCCAGATTCTAGTGTAGTAAAGACAAGTTAATCGAAATTTGAACTATAAAAAAAAAAAGAAACCAACCAGGATCTGCGTTTTAACCAGATTGACGAAAATATTAAAATAATAGATCAATAACACCAGTTTTAGAAGGAGTTTCTGTATTTAAAGCGTTATTTCAAACCAGCCAAATCTCTCCAGTCATCTGAGAGCCATCTCCTGTAGGTGCCACCATCCGGATAGCGTACCTTTGGAGACCACTCTTTCACGGTTGCTGGTCCTTGCTTGAGGAACCAGATCCCCCTGGACCTTAGAGCTTTGGACAAAATTGGTATCTTCAAATTAAGACTGAAGACACACTTTTTCTGTGAAGCCTACTGTGAAAGACTCCTGTTTGACTAGTGTTTCAGCTTTGGGTCATTGATGAATTTTCCAATGCGCGGTTGAGCAGTTTTCTGGAAATGTTGTATGTATGTATGTATGTAAACCATTGTTGGCAAATTGTTAAAATTTGTTAAAATTCATCAAAACATATGGTGATCAATTTAGATGAGACTCACTGCGCTTTAATAAGGTCATTCTAAGACTAACATATGGTCATTCTATTGACAAGGCAACTTACGACATGTAGTTTTTTCTGGTTGTTGAGTATTTGTCCGTTAGAATATTGCTGCATCAATAGATCTATTAATGGCTTGACATCATCACTATTACCAAATTCTATATCTGTAAAATACAAACATATATCACATTCTATTACTGATGGGGGCCACAGTGGATCACTGACTCTCTATCCAGGGGATCTAAGTTTCGATCTCAGTGTTGGCCGAGAAAGTTACCCAGGAATTTTCAGCGTGGTCTCCTTGTCAGTGGTGAAGGATGGAAGGGTCTGGCAAGTTAGTGGTGCAGGATGGAGGGTCTGGCAAGTCAGTGGTGCAGGATGGAGGGGCTGGCAAGTCAGTAGTGCAGAATGGAGGGGCTGGCAAGTCAGTAGTGCAGAATGGAGGGGCTGGCAAGTCAGTAGTGCAGAATGGAGGGGCTGGCAAATCAGTAGTGCAGAATGGAGCGGCTGGCAAGTCAGTGTCTAGTAATTTGGATGGGACAAAAAAAAACAAGGCCCACCAGTGTATTGTTTGGTGAGCAGGTTAAAGAACCCTTGACATTCAGGATGAAGAGTGCGCAGCAGCTATACTGTCCGGACAAAATTCCCCTAATAGCACACAGCATGGCTTACCATTCTTCATTAGCCCAGTCGGTGCAGAAAAGTAGGATGTTAAAACCCCATTTCATTTCATTTTATTTTATTTCACTTCAAAAAGAAATTTGACTAGAAAGGAGGACAATTCCTGTTCAATATCGGATATAATCCACCAGTCCTTATTTCTTAATAGTCTTGACAATACTGAGATTCGACTACACAACTTGCCCTTTCAACATTTACATCCAGACATTCATAAAACTAACTGAATCAATCGAGATGTTTTTTCACATTGAATATGTAACACTTTTAATTTCTTTTACTTGTATAAACAATCTAAAAATAGAACTAATCATACGTGTAATAGACTGGATCTTCTGGACAACAGATAATGCTACAGGTATAGCTTGTTTTAATACTAGTGTAAAGCAGGCTGGTAGTAAGTGACTATTGACATTTGTAATATCAGTAAATGATGGTAAACTGAAAGTAGAATAGAAATAATTGATACAAACTGTAATAAATGGCGGACTATCAAAGAGAGAGAAAGAGATGGGGTTTAATGTCCCCTATAAAGAGAAGACAACCTTCTTCAATAAATTCAGATAATAGACTGACAATTTATAAAATAAATATTTCTACATGTCAAGTTGTTAGTGGTGTTATGTCTAGTTCTTGGTTATGTGATGTCTAGTTGTTGGTTGTGTGATGTCTGATGTCTAGTTGTGTGATCTCTAGTTGTTAGATGTGTGATGTCTGGTTGTTGGTTGTGAGATGTCTGGTTGTTGGTTGTGTGATGTCTGCTGTCTAGTTGTTGGTTGTGTGATGTCTAGTTGTTAGTTGTCTGATGCCTAGTTGTTGGTTGTGTGATGTCTAGTTGTTGGTTGTGTTATGTCTAGTTGTTGGTTGAGTGATGTCTAGTTATTAGGGGTGTGATGTCTAGTTGTTAGTGGTGTGATGTCTAGCTATATAAATATTGTACTAACCTTTTACCATCAGGCATTTTATTGACTGTCATTAACGGCATGGTTTGTAATTTATTCGGTGGACCTGGTTCCATACAGATAGTTACTCTCTGACCTAAATTATACTCGGTTATAGCTGAAATAAACATTATATAAACAACTTAAATTATACTCGGTTATAGCTGAAATAAACATTATATAAACAACTTAAATTATACAGCTGAAATATACATTATATTACTGACTTATATAAACAACCTAAATTATACTGAGTTATAGCTGAAATAAACATTATATTACTGTCACTGACTTATACAACGATAACATTTATAACTCCTTACAATGAATTGGGAGCCACAGTGCCTCAGTGAGAAAGACAATGGGCGAGAAAGTTCCTCAGGATTTTCCAGCAAGGGTTTGCCCTTGTCACAAGTAGTCCGTGGGACAGGATGGAGGGCCTGACAAGGACAGCTGTCTAGTCTTTTGGATGGGACAAAAAACTGGGCATGCATGTAAAACATCTCTTGACACTTTAAATTCACTTTAAGTGTAGGTCGGAGCACTGCTGTCCGGGAAGCAGAACAGTGGGACGTTAAATCCCATTATATTTCATTTCATTTCTTACAAGGACACGACAACTTCTTGGTTGGTCCTGCTCTGCTATTGTTTACAGTGAGAGTGATTATAGTCTACATACCTTCTACTGTTAAAGGATGGGCCGTTTTAGTTAATTTATCTAATAAATCGTATGGTGATACAAAATACATCAATTCCATGGGTAACCCTAAAAATATAACATAAATAATATACTCTATAGCTATCCGCTTTATAAACAAGGGGATATCAAAATAATTTTTTATTTCAATTGTAGAGACTATGTATGGTCTATACCCCACTCACATGGACATGTTTTGGAAGGCCCAGAGATTGACCATCTCTTTCTTATTAGTCATCAACAACCAATAGATCTGGGGCTCCATGCACAGGGGCGTTCATCAAAGGAGTACAAAACTGGACCCAAATTTTCTAGGTTATTTTTTTTATGTAGGCTTCAATGCTACGCGGTAATCAGTCCGTCCGATGGTTCATTCCTTTATCACAATGGGTATAAACAATTATGCCCCAAAATTGAATTATTCCAATCCCAAAAATACTGATAATCAAGTGAAATCAGGGATTTCGAGCTACAATGCATGCGTGGAGTGCTTAAGAAATTATCTCAACCAACCAGGACAGCCGAAACATAGTCGTTGTGTTTAGTTATGTCACGATTCTACTCACACCACCTCCCTTGTGACAGTGCTGAATTCTGTGTTAATTGCAATTCTGTCAGTTCGGGACCTTCCGGGCTGACAACTGAGCATTCTGAAAATAATACTACGTATGCTTACCTCCCTTTCTAGGTAATAAAATACCTAATGGTGACTTATGAATGTATTTGGCCACACCATTAATAGAACTGAAACAAAAATCAGATAAAAGTAGAAGCAAGCGAATCTACAACTAAGGGAAATAACTCTGTTTTACCACAATTATTTCCCCTTAGACCTCAAAGTTTTGCCATAATTCAACAGAACTGCTCTTTTTTTTACTTTTACAGGTGAGAATCGTGCAATAGACACAAAAGAGCTTATAGACTTATATAAAAACTTTTACTAGGGTGGCTTAAAGATTCATATACATGTACACCCCTATTATAGGTGGTTTGATCCCTGCATTGGCCGAGAAAGTTCATCAGAATTTTCCGGCATGGTTTCCCCTTGTAAGTGGTGCAGGACAGAGGGCCTGAAAAAGACAGCTGTCTATTCATTCGGATGGTATGAAAAACTGAGGTCCTGTGTATACATTGGTGTGCACGTAAAAGATCCCTTGGCGGTTGGATTTCAATATAAGAGTAGACCATAGCGTCTCTGCCCGGGCAAATTTTCCGCATATCACACTGTATGGTGTATGCTCGTCTTCATTAGCCCCAATCGGAGCAGAACAGTAGGACGTTAAACCCATTTGACTTTCTTTTATAGGTTAGAATACTGTGATGAATATCAGAGTGGTTTACATATTTATATACAAACCTTTGAAGTTGTGCTAAACTATTGAGATCTTTCTCAATAGACTGTAAAGCCAAATATGCTTTAGTTTTTATTTTCCTGAAAATACAAAACAGATAATGCCATGATTTACTACAAAATAATAAGTGTATTATGAAGAATGTACGTGGCCATTAGTAAAATATTTACTACAAAATACAAGTGCATTTAGTGAAATCAACTACAGGAGCTACGATTCCTTACTTTGAAAGATATCTGATATGATAACGAATATTGGTTAGTAATTATTTAACCTTAACCAGAAGTGTTGAATTCTTTCAGTTTTTTGGTCATATGACCATGTAATATTGTTTACATACAGGTAGCCAGCTAGAAACAATGGCAGTGAAATATCAACATGTCTTCCTGCCGTTATACTGAATATTGTTTCAGTAAAAATGATCAGAGAAAGAGAGAGAGAGAAAGAGAGAGAGAGAGAGAGATGTCCACTGGACACAAACTAGGTTATTTCGGGACAAACATATGGTTCAATTTTATTACAATAACTCTCTTACATGTAGGGGTCTTTAGCAGTGGGAGGAAACAGGAGGACTCAGAGAAAACCCATGAGGTTGGACAGTCGACCTACTCCTTGTCACGTAAAACCAGGGAATAGAAACCACGCCAGTTGACTCAATGACAGAGCTTATGATACAACGCGTGCATGCGCTAACCATTCGGCCAAAATGAAAGAGAAGATGGAGAATGAATTACACGAAAGATGAAAATATAATAGGAATAATGCGACTGGTATATAATTACACTTACTTATCTCCACTCAGTGAATAAATTTTTTGAAGACCTTCGAGATGTGTGACAAATTCATCAAACTGTCCATTTCTGTCAACAAAAACAACAAATGATTTAGATCTTTAACAATAAAACAAGTAAGGTGGTCGATTGTACATGTAGCACAAATCAGAATTTTTTTTAGTCTGCTTGGCTGAAATTCATGATCTATTGGACAATAATATCCCTCTGATTTGGGAGCAATTTAATAATAATAATAATAATAATGAAGTTTTATATAGCGTCTTCTCCATGTTGACACATGCTCAAAACGCTTTTTGTAATGGCTCTACTGGTAAAACTGTTGAACCAGGAAAGTCTTTAGTGCGGATTTAAATTGGTTAAAAGTTTGTTGATTCTTGATCTGTTGTGGAAGTTCGTTCCATAATCTAGGACCAGCTGAACTGAAAGACCTATACCCATATGACTTTAAATTATATCTTGGAACAACTAGTGACTGTTTATTTTGAGAGCGAAGTGATCTAATAGGGTTGTAGTCATATAAGAGTTCAGATAAGTATTGAGGAGCTGCATTATTGCGACATTTATACACTAATGTTAGTATTTTGTATTTGACTCGCGCCTCAGCAGGTAACCAATGTAAAGAAGCCAGCACATTCTGGATGTGATCAAACTTATGTGTCCTTGTTACTATTCAGGCTGCAGTATTAAGAACCTTTTGGATCTTGGCTAGAAGTGCTTGTGGGATTCCATAGAGTAAACTATTACAATAATCAATCCTTGATAAAATTAGTGATCGCACAAGTAGTTTACAAGCGTCAGCAGTGAGATAGTTTCTGATGTTGCATATACAGCGTAGATGATAGTAGCATGTACGGCATACCATATCAACCTGAGCATCCATTGTCAGAGAAGGATCAAATATCACTCCAAGGTTTCGAACATTTTTGGAGAAATTTATTTCTGAATTACCAATGGTGATTTTAAGATCAGGTAGTAACTTGAGTTGTTGTGATGAACCTACTAAAAGAGCCTCTGTTTTATTGTCATTCAATTTTAGTTTGTTCGCTTTCATCCACTGTTTAACTGCCAGCGAACAGTCAGTAGTTTTTTGTAAGGCATTTCTGATTAGCATAGGACTAGACACACCAATGAGTTGAGTATCATCGGCGTAAGAGTAGTGCCTCTATGATTCCATAGCATTGGTGTTAGCGAGGGAGAGAGAGAAATGGGGATTAACATCCACTCGACACAAACTATTTCATTTCGGGACTAACATATAGTTTAAATTATATTTTAATAATTCCCTTGCATGTATGGGTCTTTAGCAGTGGGAGGAAACCCACAAGGTTGTTCAGACGCCCCTACTCCTTGTCACGTACAACCAGGGAATCGAAACCACACCAGTTGACTCAATGACAGACCTTATGATACAGCGCGCACATGCTAACCATTCGGCCATCCAACCCACCTGCATTGATGTTAGCACCCGATGTAAATGTAAGGGAAATTTTCATGATGAAAACCCACTAAAAGTTGACAAGGGGTTTGCACAATAACACCCCTCTAAATTTGGAAAAGAAGTGTTTATCTGCTAAATAATGGACTCAGTAGATATTAGTTGATACACTAACATTTTTATCTTCCCAAGTTGCCCTGTTTATACCGAGAATTAGTACAGCACCAAGCGCTTCACTACAAACAATACACAGCCAAACCAAACTCTAGTAGAGCCAAACAACGCCAGTGATTCCGGAATACACTAGAGCCAAACAACGCCAGTGATTCCAGAATCTAATAGAGCCAAACAACGCCAGTGATTCCAGAATCTACTAGAGCCAAACAATGCCAGTGATTCCGGTATCTACAAGACCCAAACAACGCCAGTTTAGCGCTGCCAGTGATTCCAGAAATGAGATATATATAGAGAATCTCCTACAAGTCTTTTTTGGTATCTTTTTTGGCTCTGCCAAATTTTTTTTTCTTTATCGACAAGTGTTGATATTTTTTGATAAATAAATATAATTCTTTTCTATACATTTCCCTTTTACTAAACCTGATTACATCAAGGAGTAGTGATACATCATTTTTTGACAGCAATTCAATCATTGAAAAGTCCCTGTGCTTCCATCAAGGTCAATTAAATAAAAATAATTTATTTTTAATAAAAAAAAATGAAATCACTTTTAATAAAAAAATGAACTGCTCTTTGAAAATAAAAAAAGTAGTTCCTTTTTAACTGAACAATCAAATTCATGTAAAGCGATATCGAACTAGATTATGAAATTTATCACAAGTGATATCTACTGTTTAAAACATAGATATGACGTCACCCTTTGATGTTTTTAACCAGTATATAGGAGAATGTACGCTTTTCTTAAACAATCGTCTATTATTTATGAAACTGTTCATTATTTTTATGAAACTGTCCATTATTTTTATGAAACTGTCCATTATTTTCAATAAATAATGGACAGTTTTATAAATAATAGACGATTGTTTAAGAAAATATCAATAATAGACACGTATCTGAAAAATGAACAGGTATTTTGGGATAATTTATTCTCTGAACAAATTAAATTACAGAACATGAAATTACTTTAAAACCTCATAGTTACCGAAATGTCACATGACCGAATGTTGATTTCACGTGTTCGTCTACATAAGGAATTCCACTTAAATCTGTCCGTTATATGTCACTTATCCGTTTAATATAGTATGTTCGGCACTAGATCGATGATACGTTTTTATACGCCCACATTTTCACACCATCTTTGTGGACACTCTACAGGTCATAGCTTGAAATATAGGTATATACATGTATCCCAAAGATCTCGGTTCCTTTCGATATTGACTTGCATGGGACCGTAACTTCATGGATTATGGCCCCTGACTGTACACACTAGAGGTCACAATTATTAGCCCATTTTGATGAAACTGAACATGTGTGTTTATAACCCAAAGATCTCGATTCCTTGCTATATTGGCGCATATCGGACCGTAACGTCCTGGATTATGGCCCCGGATTGAACAAAAAAAACGTGTTTTGAGCCTGTGGAACCTATGCAGGTCACAATTTTTATCCGATTATAAAAAACGTTCAAATATATCATCACAATTTTTACAGCTATTATCTTCCATATCGAGTACATTACCAATGTAATCAGTATCCATATGCTTATCACATAATATATTCTCATTATTAATATTTGTTTTCGACTGTGTTGTAAACATGTCGTCTCCATGTCTGTGTATGCTTGCATTGTATGATTGGAGTGTTTTGTAACATGCATTCATGAGCATGTGCATGTTGTTTTAAGAATATATCCATTATTTTATGGCTTGTTGTTTTAGAAAACTATCCATTATTTGTATCTCTATGGTGCTATGTTTTAAGTTTGATAATAGCCTCAGACTGTCCATTATGTAAATACAAAGAAAAACTTTGGGGCTAACGCCCCTCAGTTGTTCTTTCTATTTACATAATGGACAGTCTTCGGCCATTATCCATCACAGAATGTTTTATTGGGTGATAAAAAAGAACTTACTGTAATATTTCTGTTAATTCAGGACAACTCTGTAAAAATATCAAAAAATATAAATGCAATTATAAAACTTATGGCTGAGACAGCTGTATAACAGATATTTAACAAAATAACAAAAAGCATTTTTATGTATTGTCACGAGCAATAACTCAGCAAACAAATTACATCTCATACGAGAGAGGGATGGGGTTTAACATCCACTCCACACAAACTACATGAAGGTGATTTTGGGATTAACATCTTTCAATTTCATTTCAATAATTTTCTTGCACGTATAGGTCTTTTAGCAGTGGAGGGTGGGGGGGGGGGACTGGAGGATCTGAACAACACTCAGGAGGTTGGGCAGACAACCCTACATGTACTTCTTGTCGTGTACAAGTTGGATGACGAAACCATGCCATTTCACTCCATGACAGACCTTATGATCTAAAGCTTATGTGTTAGATCATTCCGCCGCCCAACCATCAACATCTGCTCAGTTTCAGTTGAAAACAGATAAAAATAAAAAGTGTATTGCATTCACAAGCTATTTTTGGTCGAAATCAGCAAATAATGGATAAATATTGTTAATTTCAAATTTATCTAAGATCTGAAGGCTTTGCATGTACATACAATGTGCCTACACATTTAATCATATTAAGTTCTATTGTGTTTGAATTTATAATATCTCGTCAATGTCAAATACGTGCATGTAGTATAGAATTGTATGTGAATAATATAAAAATATGCCTTTAGTGGCATTTAGCGAGAGGAGACTTATCGAAACATTGTGTTTGTGTATAATAAAACCAGTGATTGTTTTATTTTCCCATATAACTGTGTTACATGTAACCCAGGTATCATTTATTCTTGTGTATCTAGCACTAATTTCTTTCACTTTCGGTTAATATCAAATCTTTGTTTAAAAATTCGTAAAAATTGTTCAAAATCAACAAATATCATCTAATTTGTACTTGTGTCCAGTTTAAAGCTGGCCATTCAATTTTGATAATAATAATATAAAACTTAGTCAAACTGTTGATTTGTTGAACTGGAAGAACCCTATCAAATTTCCAAAATTTTCAATCAAATAGTATATGAATTGTAATACAAATATCTTTAAAGATGCATTATAAAATCTGCTTATTGCAGGTCTTTTTCTGGCTTCAAATCTTATATAAGTTATTATTAAGACAGTTGGAATTAGATAAAAGAACCGGCCGTAGTGCTGCTGTCTTATTAAAATTTCCCTCAGAGCACACTGTATGTCGTATGCCTGTCCTCATTAGGCCCGTCTGATCAGAACAGAAGGACATTAAACAGCATTTCATGCGTAACGAGTTGCTAAAATTATAAGGTAAATTGTTTATGTGGCATTTAGTAACTGGATGAAAATAGCACATGATAAAGACGGGAGATCCGAAACGCCGCTGAAATAACCTCTTCAAGTAACTTGTATTCCATATAATTGTGTCATGTGTTATTGTTACAAGGTAAGGGAGATAAAAAAAATATATCTATATGTATAATAATACTTACGACTGGATCTCCCTGATGGACTATTTTAACATCTTTCACCTTCCCAACAACTTTATCCAACTGTACTTCGATGTAGAACATATCGGATGATATAAATACCTGAACATCGTTTGTAGTATTATAATTCAAACCAACCTGTCTCGCTATAGATTCTAATCTCTCTAACATAGATTGATTATTACACACTGAAATAATAATAATAATAATAATAATAATAATAATAATAATAACAAGCCAACAGTGAGGCTGATGTCCCCCGCCGAAATCCCAAAATAAATAGATGACACATTAATTAATCGCACATTTATTTTTTTCAAAAGTATCGAGCAATCAAATTATACACTAAGTTTGAGCACTCTCTATCAGATAGAATCAAAGTTATCTTGTCCCAAAGCATCGACCAATGTTAATAATTGAACTCAGCCATGACATGACAGCAGAAAATACTCATTATCAAACTTAGTCAAGGTAATGATATAATAAAGCTATACACCAAGTGTCCTCACTCTCACTTAATTAGAACTAAAGTTATCGTGTCCCAAAGCATCAACCAATCAAATTGCTTATCCCTGCTTACTCTAAGCAAAAAATTCTCATCTTCACACTCCATCAAGGCATTCACCTAATAGCCACCTATGCCAAGTGTGAACATTCTAACTCAACTAGAATGAGAGTTATTGTGTTCTAAAGTCTCGACCAATCAAATTGCTTATCTCTGCTTAACCTAAGCACAAAATGCTCATCTTCGAACTCCATCAAGACATTAACCTAATAAACACCTACACCAAGTTTGAACATTCTAGCTCAATTAGAAAAGGAGTTAATGTGTTCCAAAGTCTCGGCCAATCAAATTGCTTATCGCTCTGCTTACCCTAAGCAGAAAATGCTCATTATCGAGACTTAGTCAAGGTATTGATATAATAAAGCTATACACCAAGTGTCCTCACTCTCCCTTTTAATTAGAACTAAAGTTATCAGGTCCCAAAGCATCAACCAATCAAATTGCTTATCTCTGCTTACCCTAAGCGGAAAATGCTCATCTTCGAACTCCATCAAGGCATTGACCTAATCAACACATACACCAAGTTTGAACATTCTAGCTCAATTAGGAAGAGAGTTATCGTGCCCCAAAGTATCAACCAATCAAATTGCTTATCTCTGCTTACCCTAAGCGGAAAATGCTCATCTTCGAACTCCATCAAGGCATTGACCTAATAAACACATACACCAAGTTTGAACATTCTAGCTCAATTAAAAGTTATCGTGTCCCAAAGCATCAACCAATCAAATTGCTTATCTCTGCTTACCCTAAGCGGAAAATGCTCATCTTCGAACTCCATCAAGGCATTGACCTAATCAACACATACACCAAGTTTGAACATTCTAGCCCAATTAGGAAGAGAGTTATCGTGTCCCAAAGCATCAACCAATCAAATTGCTTATCTCTGCTTACCCTAAGCGGAAAATGCTCATCTTCGAACTCCATCAAGGCATTGACCTAATAAACACATACACCAAGTTTGAACATTCTAGCTCAATTAGGAAGAGAGTTATTGTGTCCCAAAAAGTGTGACGGACAGACAGACAGACAGACAGACAGACAGACAGACAGACAGACGGACGAACCCATTTTAATAGTCCCCTGCTTTCTTCGAAAGGCGGGGGACAATAAATTGATTACAAAGAGCGAGAGAGAGAGAGAGAGAGAGAGAGAGAGAGAGATGGGGTTTAACGTCCACTCCACACAAACTAGGTCATTTCGGGACTAACACATGGTTCAATTTTATTTCAATAATTCGCATGAGCATAGGGGTCTTTAGCAGTGGGGGGAAACCGGAGGACCAGTAGCAGAGGTCGCAGTGGATCAACTTCGAGTTGCGTAAAAATACGCAGACATTCCAAAATTTTGCATTTTTGTCCTCTACATCTGCGTGACTTAGAGCCTCTCAAAATACTCAATATAGAAGCATGTAAAGTCGTTTTGTGAACAACCCTATTTTAAGCGTCCTTATTTCATTGATAGGCCTACTGTATTTAGTCTAATGATGACTGGAGGTTAACAGCATGTCTGTGGTTGACGGCACAGTCATTTATCTTTCACTTCGACAGGACGTAAGTCGGAAAGAGAAAACTATCGCTATGAAAGCCAACATTTGATTGGCTGAATGTAAACAGTATATCTTGTTCTAGCCAATCCCAAGTCTTGTATGAAATGAGCTTTACTGCTTCCAAAAGGATAGCTACGTAGGCTTACCGCCATGAACTTATGAATGAAATAAGAGGAAATATAAAAAACTACGGAGACTACGCACAGTAGAGGTGTGTAAATGCCAGGTGAAGCACATAAATTGTACAAACTACGACACAGAATAATCTAATTATTCTCACGTCAGGGAAATTTTCTGCGTGTAAATTACGCAGCGTCCGTCAATATTTGCGTTTATTTTGAAAAAAATGCGTGAAATACGCAGATTTTCGCATAACTGCGACCTCTGAGTCCAGGAGAAAACCCACGGGGTTGGACCGGCGACCCTACTCGTTGTCACGTACAGTGTACAACCGGGGAATCAAAACCCCACCAGTTGACTCAATGACAGACCGTATGATACAGCGCTAACCATTCGTATGCTAACCATTCGGCCATCCACCCACCAAATTGATTACAGAACATAGTGATTTGTGATACATTATTATTATTCAATTTGTTAAAGGTACATGTACATGTACTTTATATTTCATTATACAATGTATGTTGCATACTGTTGTTTCAAGAGTACGCTACTCCCTACCCTACATGTATAGTGTACATGAAGCATATCAGGACTGGCATTTATGATAGTGGCGTCACCTATTGCTGTAAATTTTTGTAAAATCATGAACAATGATTTTCGTATACAGCACCCCCAGAAAACTGCTAATGACAAACATTTATAACACAACACAATCATAAATATACAGTGAAAAACACCAATAATTGCCATTTTGGTGATAATTGCTTACTGTAGAATGTAGGTCATTCTGAAAGATGGCGGATATTCCCAGATCGACGCCTAATACTACGATTTTCGTATTTAGCACTCATAAATTTGTTATGAAACATTTGGGCGCCATTATGATTGACTTGCTTTTTCTCAAAAGTTACTTTCCAGACCAGGTTCAGAGATCGGTCATTTTTTTTTATCCTATTCAAACCAACCAAACATCATTTTGAAGGAACAGTATAGAGATACAATGTACTGAATGTACATGTAGGGAAAGTGAAACTAACAATAACTCAATTTCCCTTTAATTCCTCATTGTGACTCATTTGCCGGCAGGGGTCACATATAATAATATTACATGTACAATGTAAACATTTACAAAATTACACAACAATATAATATTATATACACCATCACAATATAGAGAGACATACATACATGTATAGAGGGTTTAACGTCATAAGGTCATAGTAAAGGTATACATGTATCTTCAATTCAAAAATTATGTAAATTGCAAGTAGGGGATCTTAAACAGTGGGAGGAATCAAGTGTCGAACCCATGCCACTTGATTCAATGAAAGCTCTAATAATCTATAGCAGACACAATAGACCAAATATTTACCCCCTCCGAAATCCTACATTACTGACTAAGTCAAAGGAAGCTGTTTTTACTGTGAAATAACACAAATTATATAATGTTGATTTATAATAAATTATCAATTTGTGTAGCGTAGAGCCCTGAAACACTTCCTTAGTGATGTTTAATGAAACCGAACGTATTATAACTTTCCTTCCTCTAATTTCAACCTTGGGCAACCTTGGTTTACAATCTTGAATAGACTAAACAGCAGTCACAAGAGAGAGAGAAATGGACATTAACGTTAACTTCACACACACTACATTGTGACTACATGTAGGTCATTTCGGGACTAAGATATGGTTCAATTTTATTTCAATAATTCGCTTTTGTGTTGGGGTCTGTAGCAGTGGGAGGAAATCGGAGGACCTGAAGAAAACCCACGAGGTTGGACAGGCCAGTTGACTCAATGACAGACCTTATGATACACGCACAGGCCCCAACCATTTGGCCATCCAACGCCCCACCCGACCCCAGCAGTCACAAATACATGTACATACAGGTGTAAATATATTGTAGTATAATTTACCTTTAATTGCTTTTTGTAATGTATCCAAACATTTTTGTATAAGAGGTTTATCAGCAGTATCAAAATGGCGTTTTTCCTGAAAACATACAAATATAAATATTTACTAACAACAGATATAATACTATATCAACCATAACCCCAGCAGTGGGAGGAAATCTGAGGACCCAGAGAAAACCCATGAGGTTGGGCAGGTGACCCTACTCCTTGTCACGTACAACTGGTGATTCGAAACCATGCCAGTTGACTCAATGACAGGCCTTATGAAGTTATGATACAGCGCGCACATGCTAACCATTCGGCCATCCAACCCCCCAATCTGGTTAAAACACAGATCCTATTTCGTTTCGTTTTTATAGTTCAAAATTTCGTTTTACATGTACTTGTCTTTACTACATGTACACTTGGATCTGGAAGAGTTGTTATTTAACTCGTGTTCTGAATGGTGTCAGGGATAAGCCAATGAAACGGTCTATTACTGCGAGCTTTAAGCGTGTTTTGCACGGAACTGTGGGTAATCCACTAGTAACATCAATGCTGATTGGTTAATTAAATGTCTGACATCATAGGGTCATAAGTCGGTCTTTTGACCCCTGACGTGACCTACATGTACATGTATCACTACAACCGGTCAGATCTTCATGTAGTGTAGGCCATCGAAAGTATAAAAAAACAAAACGAAATATAGATCTGTATTTTAATCAGGTTGTCCAACCCCCCAATTCTACATTAAACATACATGTACATTATGGTATGCAAGAGCTAAATCTGTCTATCACAGGTCTTTCTTTAGGCCTGAAATTATTAATTAGACATCATTTAACTGACCCAGGTGATAATCAACTCTCGATGGCATCGCTAGCCTACGATATTAAATAGATTAGAACAGTTCAGCCATACATGTATTTTGAATTAAGCTAAAAATGGAGGAGCGAGACTTAGCTTCAAACAACCAGTATGGTGGTTGAAATTATTGCACAGGTCTTTGACAAACCTTCGAAGGTTAATATCTTCGCTCGCAATAGAGTCATTTGAATGAAATTTTCAAATTATTCATTTGCATCATCTATTTTCGAACTACATGTACAGCAAGAATGACTAGCTCTTTATCTAAATCTTACATAATGTATCTTTAAGGAACAAGTGGGTAATTCTCCAAGTTAGACCATTTTTGCATATATATGTAAATAAATGTACACCCTACTCTTACATGTGTATATCGAATTTCAACTGCCAAGGGTTCTTTTACGACTTTACGTTGTCCCTTGCCAGACTTTCCTTCCTGCAAAACTGACAAAGGGTGGGGGGGAACCACGCCGGAAAATCCTGATGAATTTTCTCAGCCAGGGTAACAATACATCTTACTCACTGAGCCACCTTGGCGCCATTCTGTGAGAAAACGTATCAATATTTCACAGAGAAAATAGTTGAACCAGTATCATTACATAATGAATTACACGACCATCCAATAATTCAAGCTGTTATTGATTATTGCATGTGTATTATATTAAATAACCCAAGTTATGTTTTTCCACTGATTACAATGGCATCTGCTTTTACTTTATCAGCTGCAGTTTTCATCCAATAATATAAAAAAAAATCGCCAGAACATTTTGTTTTTACATGTACATGTAATATTGATTATCACTATCAGACAGTTACTGTTCATCAATTACATAATATAAGGTATGTGCATGTGTACATGAACTCTCAGAGAAATTTGTTTGGGATACGTGGTAGGGGGATGTGGGTGGGGGTGGGGGGATGGGTGAGTTGGGGGGGGGGAGGGAGGGACGGGAGAGGGTGAGTTGGGGTTTAATGTCCACTCGACTGAAACTACGTCATTTCAGGAATAACATACACGTACACAGGTAGTTCAATTCTACATACATGTACATATCTCAATAATTTGACTGTGGGTAGGGGTCTTTTATTTAGCTGTGGGAGGAAACCAGAGGTTCTAGAGATACCAAGAGGTTGGACACTGCACAGACTACCGTACTCCTTGTCACGTATAAGCTTTGAATCAAAACCACACAACTTGACTCAATGAGAGAAAGGAAATGAAATGATTTTGAACGTCCTACATGTACGCGTACATGTACTTACATGTACATGTAATCTCATGATCTAAATATGTTTGAATGAAGATGGCACATATTTGTTTATCCTCATTATATATTTTTATAAATCCCAGAAGGAACCATGGAAGCAACAATCTTATTTTAAAAATTTCCATGAAATCGGGAAGGTTTGAAAAAGTTGGAAATGTCTAAACTTGCCCCGGCTTAATATCCAGAAGATCCATGGTGTGATTCTCGTGACGGCTGAGAAGCTCCCTGAGATTTCCTGCGTGGATTCCCCTTGTACATGTATATGGTGCAAGGGTGTCTAATCATTCGGATGGGATTAAAAACCATGATCCCCAACGGACTACTCATATTTCGAATTACAACTGTCACAAAAATTCTGTTACATGTACATGTACATGTTATTGTAAGTCATAAAGTACACGGGACAGACGTGTAGTTTCTTTTTTGGACCATCAGAACAACTAGACACTATTCAGGTGTAGTTAGCCAGCGTCTCATTCACTGAGTCCCCACAGCTTCCCATGTACTAAAGTTGATCCAATTCATCTAATACATACATGTATGTACATGTACAATACAAAAATAGGAACTTACTGTCATATTGGGTATTCTTGATAATTTCTTATCCACCCAGGATTTGTGCTGTGGGTTGCGAGCTCGTAGTTTTTCCATTAGCGTGGCCAATCGCAGCTTTTTCTCAACACCTGAAAATATATAATACAAGACAATATAACTACATGTATTGATAATGTTAATAATAAAGTGAATTGTTGTCATGTCAATAAACACTGTAACCTGGGTATCATTTAATCTTGCGCACTTAGCATTAATTTTTTTAACATTCATTCAATCTCATATCTTTGTTTAAAAATTCATAAATATCATCTAAAATCACCCCAAATGATGTAATTTGTACAGTGACACGTGTACATATTAGAAGATGCAGCCTGTGTCAATATATCCACTGTTATACGTGTAAGGATATGTATAGTTTATATATACATGTACATATGATTGTAGATACAGAGTATGTAATAATGGTGTACTGTATATGTACATATTGTAACACCTGGAAATCTACATGCATACACCTACATTTACATGGTACATGTACATGTAAATTATTCATATCCTTAAAAGAAAATGAGTATAAAATCACTTTGGGGTACACATATGTATTCAATGCAATCAGTGACTGCTGACATTCAGACAAAAACTATGAGGTTATTTCGGGACTAACATATGGTAAAATCTTATTTCAAACATGTACATGTAGCAGATGGAGGAAACAGGAGGACCCAGAGAAAACTCATGAGGTTGGCCATTTGACTAGTACATGTATCTTTTGTGACATATAAGCTTGGGGTTGAAATTACGCCACTTGACTCAATGACAGTCCTTATGATCTAAAGCACACTCGTTCGACCACTAGACAAACCCTCAAAAAATCTCAATCCTGGAGTATACATGTACATGTACATATTAACAGATTTCACTGTTAGAGTATAATGGGCTTCACTGATAGGGTAGGGAGTGAATCTTTTCATCCCAAAACCATTACACTGACAGATAGGACTGTTTACATGTACATATACTGGATACTGTAAAGGGAATGTGCTGAAAATTTCAGTCAAATAGCTCCACCCTGTACTAAGATACATGTATTGGCGTTTTAATTTTAGGCCTAAAGTCGGTACGATAAAAAAACATACATCTACATGTAGTCTCGATTATCCATTTTTGGATTAAATCATCAATGAGCGTTGAGCAGCAAATCGGATTCAAATACAGTGAAAATCTGACAGATACAGTAAGATGGCATCGAGAGTTGCTTAAGCTCTTTCCATCTTAATAAATGACTAATTACATTTCGGGCCCAAAGACTGACTTCCAATAGGCAGATTTAGCTCTGGGATAATGAGGGGTTCATTTGACACAAGCTACATCTAATATTATATGGTACATGTACATTGCATTTCAATAATTTGTTTTCGACTATGGGTCATTGACAGTGGGTGGAAGAAATCAAAGGTTAGACAGACGATCCTACTCCTAGGCTATGGATCGGTGAGATCGAAACCACACCACATGATTCCATGACACACCTTATATATTCTAAACCGCATGCATAAAGACCAATCAACCTGGGCTGTCGGTAATTTTTCACAGTTGATTAGCAGCACTGCTAATAAGTGCTAATCAATAAGTCCAATTTTGCCAAATTTGATTAGCAAATTTAAAAATTGATTAGCAGTTTTTCAGTTTCAATGTAAAACACCTAAATAACAAGATATTACTTTAATTCATAACAAATATAATTAGATTCCATTCTGACTATTCTTAGATTTTTCAGCACTGCCACAAGCACTGGTGACAGTTTGTGAATGTGATGTAGATATTTACATGTAGTTAGGTCTTATGTCTGAAGCCAATTCTTGACAGTGACTTCCGAATCCCCACTAATTTTAATTGTTATTTTTTTGTTACGTTAGAAATCTTCGTTAGAACACAATTTCTTCTGCTTTTTATCGTGTATTACTATTTTTGTCCAATCGGGCGCACCTCGATTAACTAGACACACGCAATATAAACAATAATATTTTACTGGAATGTTTACTTTGATTTATCATTTTACAATACCTTAACATGTACATATGTACATGTATTTATTTTTTCTATATTTTATTTACAATACATGTACGTGGGGGATACACTGGATTTATTTCATTCAAAATGAATATGATATAATTACTTGATGTCTCGCAACCTGAGTTGTACTACTTGATTCCCTATTTCCAGTTTAATAGTCCCTATTCATATATAGTATAGTATTGTGTCTGGGTAGTTCGAGAAGAAAATGTCACACGGAGAATTCAGTTTTGTTTATAAAATTTTATTCAACATTTTATACACGTTGAAAGTGTTGAGTAAGCCTTCTAGTCTTCAAAATGTGGATTATTCTTGTGTCAATATCCAAAATGACAGGCGTATTAATGATTCACAGTAACTGCAAATCAAAAACGTTAGATTTTAATTTTTTGTTAGCAACAGACAAAATATGTATCGCAAATTGCGCTGCGATACTGGTTGTCGGCAGCCCTACAATCAACCAATCATCCTTTTCTTGTTTACAAAAAGGTTATGACATTTATGCTTTTGATATTTGTGTAAAACTAAAAAAAATATTGAAATGTCGAGCGTGATGTGATAGTCAGCTAAATAAATGATCACAATTTTTTCTTATCATCATCGTTAATATACTGATTTACGACATATAAATTATAAAACTTTGTCGCATTGTATAAAACATACATTATGCAAGATCTAAATCTGTCTATTGCAGGTCTTTCTTTCGGCCTGGGCTGAAATGTTATAAATCATTAATTAGATTTAACATAATATAACAAGATCATAATCAACTCTCCATGTCATGGGATACTCAAGATTTTAACTAGATTAGAACAGTTTGCCATTTAAAAATTTAATTTAAAAATGGGAAAGCGAGGCTAAGTCTCGAATATACAAGTGCCCTTGTTACCACTATGCACACATCTTGTCAAAACTACAAACAGTGATAACTTGGCTCAGAAGTAATTTGAATGAAATTTTCAATGTTTTCATTGTACATTATCTATTTTTGAGCTATTCTAGCAAGAACGATCAGTTCATCATCTAAATCTTACATAATGTATCTTTAACTATAGACTACAGTATTGTCATTGATAATTATATAAAATACAATACATGTATGTATGGTGTCTTTGAAAGGCATTTAGTGAAAGTGATACATAATAACAGACAGCTTTATGGATGACATTCACTAGGTTTATTAACTGCAACGTTTCAATGAGGTTACTCTCACCGTTATCAAGCAATGATACAATCAACATGTTACAGAAGGTTATATACAAACAGATAACAATAAACTAATTAACAAAATAAGGCCGAAGCCATTCCAAGTCATACCTAAGTAAACTATTATTAATCAATGAGAAACCCTTAAAGGGGGGGATGGAATGTACAAATCATGCTAAAACAACAACTATCATAATTAAACCCTTAATTTCCATATTGCAAATAAAGACTACAAAATTTAAAAGTAAAGATTAAATCATTTAAAAAAAACTATGAATGAGAAACCATGTTGTTGTTGATACCATTAATGACCCTCTCCATTAGACAACAAGATGTAACCAATCACAAATATTATAACAAAATATATCTAGTGGTCTAACTTATGCAGAGTTAAAAACCATAATAAATGGAAATAAACATACAGTTCCTACCAAATTTTTGAGACCAGAATCGCGCCGACGCGGCGAAAAAAAACACTCCGAATTCTCTTAGATTTCACGGTGAAATTTCGCTTAATTCCGCGGCGATTTTTCTCTAAGATTCGCCGTGTTTCTCTAGGAATTCGCCGTGTTTCTCTAGGAATTCACCGTGTTTCTCTAGGAATTCACCGTGTTTCTCTAGGAATTCACCGTGTTTCGGTAAAAGTACATCGTGCTTTGCCGTGCTTCCCGCAAGGAATTTGCGAGCCTACCTTAAGCTAGGGTCGAACTAATATTGTCTATAATACATTTGTAAATTGAAGGGGTTGTAATATAGTAATGCTCCCGGGAATATGTTTAAAGTACAGGCCGATTTGAATAACAAATGAGTTAGGTAATCTCGGGGAGACATTTACCGGCATTCTGTATAGGTTAGGATTTTTTTCCCCAACGCACTGTATACATGTACATACATAACGCCGGCGAAAATGTATGCCAAAATAAACAACTTACAATTTTTTAAACGTATCATTACATCTTCGTCTATAACTTAGATGTAACCCACCAATTATTGGCTGCTATCAAATCCAAACTTTAAATTATATATTTGTACGATGAGATTTTACACACTACTTCATAACCCGCAGCTTCAGTTAAACTAAATCAACGCCCCATAAAGCACAGCGCCATAAATCACTTCCGCAATGCGTTAGTCACGTGGTCAGAAACGCGCGAAAACCTGAGCTGTTGGGTTCGACACGGGGACTATATTCTTAGCAAATCTTGACTGTCACCGGTATATGATAACAATGTATTATGACGTATTAAAACAATTCACCATGAAGCACATCAAAGACAATCAGTTAAAACAACGATAACTGAGTAGTGATTAATTCGTATTATCTGTACTCATCCGTGTTAATAGCTGCAATAATTCTTAATCACGGCTACAATTGATACTCTATTCGGGGCTTTGAGCAAGTAAAATTAGGTTTAATAAGTAATTATGTTACAGTTATTCTGTATTTTCTAGCAAAACGGAAGAGTTGTTTTAATAAATTGATAATTGTGTTTTAATATGTATCTGTTTTCTTTGAATTAATAAAGTGTTATGTATTACCCGTGGTATTTTGTCACAATGAAGCAAAACCAAGATGTTTTCTTAGGGAGCCAGACTTTGTTTGTATATAGAAGAGCTTGAATCTGATGATTACATTGTATTAACCACCTGAATGGGTCAAATTTAAACAATGACATGGCTTCCTGTAGATTTGTCGAAAGCCTTTGTCTCTTAGCTTGGTGGTTGAGAAGTATTATCGTTTGTTTTATATAAAATTAATTGGAGTAAATAGAATCAAAGAACTTTTGCCGATACCTTGTACGTATAAATGGCAGGTTATAGTCGAATGGTTTATTTCGAGATTATTCAATACGACAGGTTATCATTAATTCAATACGGCATCATGTGGAGAAATCAAACCAAGGAGTACTCGCATTATCTGGTTAAGTTTGACGACGGTGGCTTACTGATTGTTCCCAGAAGTAGGATATTAGAAGAGGGTAGGATTGCGGAGAATGGGAAGTACAAGGTGCAATATAACAAACCCGAAGATGTGTCTGACGCTGTTATTATAAAGACTGGAGACTACTTGACATTGTCAAGGCTAAAGAGGGAGATGGGACAAAAGAAGAAAGATGAGCATCAAAAGAACCCCAGTACAATCCCGACACCAAAGCGTACCTTAACGACGAGTCGCTTACCCCAACCGAAAAGAAAGGTAAATAGTTTTCACAAAAACAACATAACAAAAATATACAACAATTTAATAATTTTATTACAATCGTTTTCTGACTTTAGGGTCGTTTAGGAGTTTTTGATTAAAATGATTACTGTCCTTCCCGAATGAACGTTCGGACCCAAAAAGTCTTTTAGGCATATCAGCCGTGGCTTTCCCACCCACCACCACAACAACCGGAACAACCTTGTACATGTGATCAATAAAGCGATTACATATGTCACGCGTAAGCACGTTGTACCAAAAGTCTTGGCAGTAATTACAGAGTTCTTCTTTTGTGGTGGGGTTCTTTTTCGATACGTAGCGCTTCAGCATATTCCACACCATTTCGATTGGATTTAAGTCTGGGCTTTCGGGGGGGGTGCACCACCAGTTAATGTTATTGTCCTCCATAAATGTTTTTGCAAGTCGGGATGTGTGCTTTGGATCATTATCCTGTTGGAAGCGATGTCCATCGTGAAATCTCTTATTTATGAATGGTAGTAAAGTTTTTTTTAAAATTTCCTCTGTATAGAAAACACTGTCCATAATACCATCAAATATAAGAAGTTGGCTTTTTCCTTTACGACTAATACCCCCCCACAAGTGAACTTTGTATGGGTGTTTTGGGCGACACTGTTGTGGTGCTCTCTGATCTTTTTGTCTATATGCAACTGTTTTGTTATCGTGTAGTTGTATTGAGCATTCGTCTGTAAATATCACATTATCAAACTGGTCATTGGTCTCTAATAAATGTCTACAGAATTCAACCCTTTTTTCTTTATTCTGGTCTCTGATTAGTTGACAATATCGTGGTTTCGTTGATGTATAACCGGCAAAATCAATGGCGCGTCTGACTGTACTAATCGAGGTGTCTGTGCCGTGTGCTGAAAGTGTTTTCTGGATATCCCTGGCAGACTGTGCTGGGTTCTGTTGAAATTCGTTATCAATAAATACTATGTCATCGGAACACAAGTTGTTAAAATGGTGGGTTTTTTCAGTCAATACGCACTTGTTGTCAAATCGTCCTTCAATATATGCGGTTACCGTATATTTTACACCGGACAAAGACACATTCACATTAGATTGGTTAAGGTATCTATGTATAGCAGAACACTTCCAGTCTTTCTTGTGGAGTTCAACAATTTTTAATTTATCCAAGTGTGGTATACGAGTAGCAGGCATTTTTATGAATTGAGCTACTGGTTTCTTGGGTTTTATGGAGGAATCGACTACGACAATACACATGAACAGATATGCAAAAAATATACATGCGCACACGTGTCATCATATTTATATATTCAAATGGTTTCAGTCTAATTAACAAGTGACATGTCAATGTGCCGTGTCTATTCCATGGTGTGACAAATTAAGAAATGGCTGAGGTCAGACACAAAGTTACTGCTAAGTGTTAGAGTTCTTATCAGTAAATTAATTAACCCAAGTCTCTTAATTTCATGTTCAGCTTAGAAAACAAGCGAGTACTTTGGAAAATATTTTAAAATTAAAACTCGCAGCCATTTTCCATAATAGCAATGTAGTACAGATTTATATAGTGCATCTGAGACAAGCAGTTCAAACTTATTTGTCTTTTTTTTCATCTGATGTCATTATTAAATATTAAAAGTCCAATTCTTTAACCCTCAAAATATTGAAGTGTTGTTGAATGAATAAAAATAAATATATTTTATTCTCTTGTCTTTTCAGAAAATGGCATCAGTTATCCGTCGAACGACGCTAGAAAGTTTCAGTTCCAATGACCCACGTGATCTGTCAATTTCTAATGTATCCTCGAGCTCCTATTCAACTAGCTCAACACCAGAATCAGTCTTCCAGGCATCATCAAGAATACCAGTGCCCGTACGTGTAACAGTACCCCGAGATGTCGAATCGCCCTCTACGTCTGAAGAACAGTCCCTCCTGCAAGCCCTGCCAGATTTACAAGATTGTGAAATTACATGTAGGCAGCTTTTTAGGACACCTAATAGGAACAGGCAGAAAACACTCTCAGCAGTAGAAAGGTACATGAAGACAATGAATAAAAAGCAGCATGAACTACAACTAGAAGTCAAGGGACTGCGACAAGAATTAAAGGATATGAATAATCTTGTTTTGTTGATACTACAGAGACTCCCCCCTCATGGCGAGGGACAAGATCAGCAGATACCACCAGTACCTAGTCCCCAGCCCGCCACACAGACGCTGCCAACGCCTGAAACTGACACATCAAAATTTGGTGATATCCCACCGGAATTTCGTATTTCTGCTGAAGATCTGAACGCCATGCACCTCCATGCTTTTAATGCCGGCCATTTCGCAACTAAAATAGTACAAAGACTTTTTCCGGAACTGACCGGACCCGACAACTTACGGCAGAAATATTCGTATTTCGGTGGGGGTAGATGCAATAAGCTAGAACTCGATACACGACGGAAATCATTCGTCGTAAGATATGTTTTACATCATTATCCTCAAGTGCAAGAAAAACATGCCTGGCAAGAGCGCGTGGTCGTAAAGATTAACGAATTTCTAAGACGAAAATGAATTTTATGTGTGTATAGACAAAAAAATTTTTAAATAGAAAAAAACAAACATTTTATGTGTGTGTGTAGACAAAATATTTTTTAAAAAGAAGAAAAAAAAGGTGTTTGCGATGGATTTGAATACATTGTTTACCAAGTGTCAAGACTTTATGTGAGTAAATACATGTACTAACTGCAATAAAAAATGAATTCACTTTTAGTGCATGTATGATTATTAAATTTTGACTGTAAAATATTATGATTTGTATACATTGTGCATATGTATTACATGTACATGTTTAACCTAATTTCGATTTTCAATAAAAATCATGTCAATGGAACCAAAAGAATATATTGTATGATTATTTAATTTTGACTGTAAAATATTATGATTTGTATACGTTGTACATTTGTATTACATGATTAACTTACTTTCGATTTTCAATAAAAATCATGACAATGGAACCAAAAGAATAAAATGCTACCCAAAACATCTCTTTAATTGTCGGTTATGGATTTATTATGCAATATCGATGCAGGTTCAATCACGAAACTTGCGCTTACACCGTCTAGTATAGCTTTTGAGCTGCTGATATGTATATGCAGTAGAAAATCGGGAAGTTGAACGTACGAAGGAATGGAATCATTCAGAAGTGTACTCAAAATAAGTAAATTATAACGGGGTGATGACGAGAATTAACACACGTGTGGCCATTGTATAAATATATGCCATGTACGCGTCTGTGTGAAATGGCTTTATTTAATATCCGCTTCTACCGAAATGAAATGAGGGGCACCCAGTAGATGTATATTGTCACAGTACCCCTTCCCACCCATATTGTTTTAATGCGTCATAATACATTGATATTATGTACCGGTGACAGTCAAGATTTGCTAAGAATATAGTCCCCGTGTCGAACCCAACATCTCATGTTTTCGCGCGTTTCAGACCACGTGACTAACGGTTAACCACATTGCGGAAGTGATTTATGGCGTTGTGCTTTATGGATTTAGTTTAACTAAAGCTGCGAGTAATGAAGTAGTGTGTAAAATCTCATCGTATATAATTCAAAGTTTGGATTTGGTAGCAGCCAATAAGATGAAATGATACGTTGTAAGTTATTCATTGTTTACATACGCCGTACACGGTGGCACCACGTTATACATGTACAGTGTGTTAGAAATAAAAAAATACGACCGTAGCTGCCTCGCCAACGGTTAACATATCTTGTATTCAACTTAAATAAATTACATTTTCCGTCAACATGCTTACATCGGGATGATATCGGCACTCAAGCGATTCACCGTGTTCCACCGCGAAACACTATAATTCACCGTGAAACACCCTATTTCGCGGTGATTTGGCAAGCTGCCGTTTCGCTAGCGATTCTCCGAGATTCCACCGTGAAATAGAGTGTTTTTCCACGGTGTTCGGTGTTTCTAGTCTCAAACTCCAGACACGTAGTGTATATGACTCTGTTAAAAGGTTATCCCAAAGTTAAAACATTAAAACACAAATAAAACACAACTGCAACAGTACCGGTAAGGTTGTTCCATATGAGTGACAGCTCAAGGGTGGTGTTTGGGACTTGAACACGTAACAAGCACAAACCAATATTATAGACCTACGTGCTTGTTACGTTGAAACGTTGCAGTTAATAAACCTAGTGAATGTCATCTATAAAGCTGTCTGTTATTACATGTATGTATATCAACGTTGTATTCCTCTACAGCTGACATCGCAATCAGTCTCATAAAATGAAAATCAGAATTCATTACGGAAACATGTCAGTAGCAGAATGGCCTATTTGGTCATGTGACTTAGCTTTGTGGAAAGAAAGTGCCGGGAATGTGTGAACCTGTAACAATACAAAACTAACGAGTTGGTACTTGGCAGTCTTGGTACATATTGTTTATTTACATGTACTATTTAAACTATTTATTTCAGTATCTTTTTGACATAAACTCAAATGTTCTAAAAATTATATACAATCAGCTATTAATTTCGAGGCCTGTAACAACATTTTATCTGAGAAAAAAGACCTGCAATAAACATATTTACATATATATATATTATATTCAAACTTTCTAAATAAGCTGATAATTCATGACTTGGCCTTGGATTTTCAATTTTTGGCCTTGGATCAAGGTGGCAGTTTTGCCTATCGTAGGTCAAAGTTGGCCTCCGATCGAAAACACAAATTCCGAGCCCTGATGACAATATTTATTTTAAAAATGCTTGATACAATGTATACATGAAATGAGAGAGAAAGAAATGGGGTTTAACATCCACTTGATTCATTCCGAGACTAATATACGTTATAATTTTATTTCAATAATTCGCTTGTTCTTAGTTGGTCTCTATATAGCTACATGTACATATAGCTGTGGGAGGAACCGGAGGAACCGGAGGAACAATCTGATTAAAACACAGATCTATATTTCGTTTCGTTTTTATACTTTCGATGGCCTACACTACATGTACATGAAGATCTGACAAGTTATAGCGATAGGTCACGTCAGGGGTCAAAAGACCGACTTATGACCCTATGATGTCAGACATTTGATTAACCAATCAGCATTGATCTTACTAGTGGATTACCCACAGTTCCATGCAAAACACGCCTAAAGCTCGCCGTAACAGACCGTTTCATTGGCTTATCCCTGACACCATTCAGAACTCGAGTTAAATAACAACTCATCCAGATTCTAGTGTAGTAAAGACAAGTAAAACGAAATTTTAAACTATAAAAACGAAACGAAATAGGATCTGTGTTTTAACCAGATTGCCAGAGAAAATACATGTAGGACAGCGGGGAATCGAAATCACATCACTTGACTCAACAACGGACCATATAAATCTCAATCTGATTAAAAACACAGATCCTATTTCGTTTAGTTTTTTATAGTTCAAAATTTCGTTTTACTTGTCTTTACTAAACTAGGATCTGGAAAAGTTGTTACACATGTACATGTATATAATACTAATAGGCGTTCTTATTGACGTGAGGAATTAGCCAATGAAACCGTCTGTAACGGCAACTTATTGTACTGGGAGGTCGTAGTCAGGGGTCTAACAAGCAGCTTTTGACCCTTTGACCTGACCTCAGACATTGATTAATCCATCAGTGCTGATATTTCTAGGGGTTTACCCACAGTTCCGACGCAGAGCACGCCAAGAAATCGCTGTAACAGATCGTTTCATTGGCTTATCCCTCACATCATCCAGAACACGGGTAAAACAAAAACTCTTCCAGATCCTAGTGTAGTAAAGACAAGTAAAACAAAAATTTTGATCTATAAAAAAACGAAACGAAACGAAACATGCTCTGTCTTTTAATCAGACTGCAACATACATGTATAATTTATAACATAAACTTACAGTTATACAAAGACTGACATTGTTAGAATAATTCTAATCTCATATCTACATTTGTTTACATTTAGAACTGTTGAGTGTTGTTTTGGCTGACTAACAATACTAACATGTGATGTTAGAAAGATAAAGGATTTATTCCAGTTGCAGCCTGTACACATGTTGAACGACTGTAATGTCAGTCAGTACATGATTATATCTCATTCAGTATGGTTGAAATTATTTTACACATTGTACATGTACATATGTACAGTCAGAATTATATGTACATTTCACAGTACATTGTAGCTACATGTAGGGTCAGAATTATATTATACTACTTACATTGCAGATACATGTACAGTCAGAATATTCTACAATACACTATACTCTATCACTCTGGGCCCTGTTTCACGAAATTTTAACTAAGATAAAAATCCAAATTTTAATAATTTGATTGGATATTAATATTAGATTGATTTTAGTGCTTAGCCAATCAAAATTGAAGTATCTACTAAAATTTTGATTTTATCTAAAATTTTGAGAAACAGGCCACAGATTAAAATATAGATCCTATTTCGTTTCCTTTTCGTTATACTTGTCCTTACTACACTAGGATCTGGAAGAGTTGTTATATAACCCACGTTCTGGATGATGTGAGGGATTCACCAATGAAACCGCGAGGTGCACAGGGAACTATGGGGTAACAAACTAGAAACATCAACGTTGATCGGTTAATCAAATGCCTGACACTCGTATGACCTCTGAACCGACCTTCCACTATAATAGGTCAGATCTTCATGCAATAAAAGGCCATCGAAAGTATACAAAAACGAAACGAAATATAGATCTGAACTTTAATCAGATTGTATTTTCCATCATTCTTTATTTATCCTAGGCCCGAAGTAGGAGTGGGGCTATCTTTATTTTGAGACAAACAGCTGCTATACCGTTTATCTATCATGACATACACTGTATATGTACATGTACATGTATACATGTAGGTACAGTACCTCAACCTCAACATGGGTTGTGGGTGGCTACCTACATGTACATTGTATACCTGTACCTGTATTATACTGTAGATACATGTAATGTAGGGACAGGTCAGGTACAGGTACAATGTACATCTACAAGTTTGTGACAGGTATACCTTCTGTCCACTCTTGAATAATATGTTGTGTGATAGTCTGTGACAGGTGCCTTATGTGCAGACTTTCACATCTGGGATAATATACATGTATAAGTAGTCACCTTTGGGGTTATAATACCTGTACGGTACATGTACCTGTATGAAGAGTCATACATGTAAGTTACACTATTCCCCCCACAGATCCATACATGTACAATGTACACACCATGTTATATAATGGAACTACTAACTATGACACACAACCTCCCCTCGACACAAACTAGGTCATTTCGGGACTAACATATGGTTCAGTTTTATTTCAATAATTTGCTTGCGTGTAGGGGTCTTTTAGCAGTGGGAGGAAACTGAGAACTCGGAGAAAATCCCATGAGGTTGGACAGGCGACCCTACTCCTTGTCACGTACAACCGGGGAATCGAAACAACGCCACTTGACTCAATGAAAGACCTTGTGATTTAGAGCGCACATGCTAACCATTCGGCCATCCACCCCCACCTTATCAGAATAAAGAGAAATTGTCAAATATTTACTTTCATATCTACTCCATTTGCATTTTATAAAATAAACCTTTCATGAAAATTTACTTAATTTGTGTTCAAAATTGTGATAGTCCTTTGGATGGGATGAAAAACCAAGGTCCTGTGTATCCATTGGCGTGCTCGTACCTTGGCAGTTGGAATTCGATATACTGTAGCTCACATGTAAGAATAGGCCGTAGTGCCACTGTCCAGACAAAATTTCCCTCATTGCACACAGCATGGCATATGTCCGTCTCCATTAGCCCAGTCGGAGCAGAACAGTAGGACGTTAAACCCCATTTTATTTCAAAACTGTGAGCATAAAGGTATGTCACTATACACAATTCTTAAAAATGCGTCACTACATTTAATATTAATGCATGTAATTCATGTATTGAATAATAAGTGAACTTATATACCACACTGTCACACAGTGTGTCTAATATATTCCTAATACATGTAGCATGTGGTTATTTACTCAGTATCTTTTCTACAGTACATGTATAAATAGCAAGGATGATATAATACCAGTACATGTTTATCATATATTATAGATGTATCTTTCAATCTTTCATTCATTGACTAATTTTAACATAACAATAACCACTGAATCCGGTTAGATACAATATTTCCTGTTCTATAAAATCAGTTTAATACATAAACAAGACAAGTTTTTGGTTTTCGAACCTCTATTTATCTGATTATTCAGTCAAAATCCTGACAATATTTTCAAAAAACCACAATTATGAACATTTGGATAATTTTCATGGTTCGCTTATTTTTAACTAAGACACCTGCCATTCAACAGAGTAAGGTGTAATATATAAAAATACACTATCCAAAAGCCGTGAATTGTGTAACTTATATAAATAGTAAATACATTAAGTATACATGTACGTAATACGACATAAGATGGTGATGGTCACCATAAATCAGCCAGGCAGTAGTCATATTCATTGTTTCATATAATTATAAATAGATATTCGAAAAGTTTCAGCTCGTTTTGAATAAAATCCTGTATCTAATTTTAATCCTCAAATTTTCTTTCTTCACAATGTCAGGTATCACAAAAAAACAACAGCATAAATCAGAGCTGTCATCTAATTTGAGAAATTAATGTGTGAAATCAAAAGCTATTTTTAAGATGTGTGCGTACATGTAAATGTCTATATAGCATATACTTTTTTTAATCTACATTTGTTATGCAAGGATTTAAAATTTGTTTTATCAATTAATAATATGACATTAAAATGAGGTTACATGATTTTGGAGAAAATAAGAATTAAATTAGGAGGATTTGATTCTGTTACATGTATTTGAATCAATAATAACATAAAATCTACATGTACATGTGATGTACTAGCTACGAGAAAGTAGCTAAAAACGTCGTTGAGATATACTGATGTGTTTGTTTTTAGCTACGATTGGATGCCTTTAGTTCCAAGTGGCAAACTCAATTTCTTTATTAATGCATGTAACATCTTTAAAATAAGGTAAGTTTATGCTATATTATGATTAATCAAACTTACAGAGGCCAATGTAGTGGCACAACTGTCGCCTAACTCCAAATATTCGCGTTTAAATTAATGAAGCGTTGTTTTTGTCTGACATTCACCGCCATCGAAATCCATTCACAGTTACAGTGCTTTAGATTGCCCTTTTGTTTGGCCGTTATAAAAGCCTTATATTTAGCCCCACCTTCATGATGACAGCGTATCGTTTAAAAAGATGGCGGTCTTAGTAACGGCTTAACGCCTCGATTTTAAAAACGACGATTTGTACCCGTTACAGGTAGGATTATATGCTTAATTGTAGTTGGGTGTGGCAGAAATATTATATATAACAATAATCAATCGTTGTTTTGATTAAAACTATTGTCAATTTTGTTTACAAATGCCGGGTGCGAATCGCACCAGCATGTGTTACATTGAAGTTAATAGCATCAACTCTTTATCTCGAAACACGGAGGGTTGAGAGATAAGATTTGTTATCTAGTGATGTACATGCGTAACGTAGGCCTACAATTAAATTTTTGAATTTTAGTTTTGAAATATCAATAAGCAGAAGTTATAATTTGCTTACTAATTTAATTTGATGAACACAAAATTAATCTCACTCAATAAACGTACATGTACGTATCTGTGCAGATCCCTATATAGTCACTTCCACAAAGCGAGACAAATCAACATGTCAAACTAATATAAATCAAAGGTCTTGTCAACTTTCTACCATTAATAAATTTCTAGATATTCTGTATTCAAGAAACTGTTCTATAATTTAAATTACATCATAAAGTCAAGTCTATTTTAAAATCTAATTTAAAATATAAAAATTGCATCAATCAACCCTGTCTTCCAAGTTACATGTAGGACCCGCCTGGTCTATTGTAATATTTCACAAGATTAGAATCAGTCTAGAATTATTGTTATATCATACCCAAACTTAAACCCCTGTCAGCTAACATATTTACATATTGTACCGTAACCAACATTTGTAACAACCATGACCTACATAATATTCCTAGCTTTCTCCTTAAATATTTTGACTATTTCTATTAATTCTAACTTACAAAACCCATGCAAACTTAGCTTTTAAGCTTCTACACACAATATTTTCCTTCATTTTTGTGTAAAATAGGTACAGAGCGAGAGATTAGATCCCTTTCAAGGCTATCAAAAAGTAAACATTTTGTTTACCAAAAAGATTCCGTTGAACGAAACAGAAAAAGTAGCTTTACGATAATAACTATTTCAAAACATTCATCATATAATTTAAGAACGAAATAGGCTTGTTGGATAATATAATATTAATTAATTAATCCAAACCTTTGTCTACTACTAAATAATTTATACATTTCCCCAATAAACGTGAAGCATATAATTTCAAAGCAGTTTTTCATTGGCTGTCACTCAGTTCCCAAAATATTTGTGAAATCGACACAAAAATGGAAGCCATACCTTAGGTGTTTTCATCTCACAAACAAATTTCCATTAAAGCCAGGTAATTACAGAGTAAAATGAAGTATAAAATAATGGCGTGAAGGTGTTAAAAAGGTGTTAATTACCTTGCTCGGGTTTGTTGATAACACGATCAGGGAATACCCCCGATTCGGCTGCCATCTTTGATCCGCGAATGAGCTTCAGTGGCTTCTAGTTTTAGCTTGTATCACTAATAATACCTCCAAAGGCATGTTTTTTAATCCATTTTTTAGCACTGCATAGAATTATTCAACATATTTCCTATTTATTTTCTAAATTTAATGGAAATTCAAGGAACATGATTGCAAATTAAACGCAACAGAATCTACCTCGCACCAACGCACTTCCCCAGCCGGGGTCAATGCCTAGGTCGCTGTGACGTCATCTATCCCAGAATCCAATGTGTGGAGTTATCGCCATTTCCAGTTTGGGAAAGTCGACTCATAAATGAAATTTTAATTAAGAAGTGACTATACACCTTTGGAGAGTTTTCGTTGCATACAGAAAACGGCAAGAAAAAGTCATACGGGTGAGTATTACGGTCGATTGATGTTTGATCTTCAATATTATCAAGACATTACCAAAAACATAAAATTTCACATGATTCGGAAGATGAGTTTTGCAGGCAGGCAGATTTAATAATGTGGGGTTGGGCCGGCAAAGAATAAAGATGGTGTTTGATTCTGACATGAAAACTTTTTGTACATTTGGATCGATTGTCATAATAATAGGAATGGTCAATCATTATTTTCAGAAAATATGCCTTTAAACACTTTGATAACCAAGAATGTTTTAATTAACCAGTATTTTTGTTTGGTTGATATGGGAATAGTCTCCCCACACAAGTTCTGAGTCAGTAGACATGATAAGAAGAATGTCAGAAGTCAAGCACTCATAGTCATAGGCCTACATTGAATAGAGATGGGGAACTGGATACTTTCTGGAATTTCCTCTCAAATCAGACATAATTTTCTCAAACTTGTAACCCCTCATTACCTAAGATATTTTTGCATCATCAAAAAAATGGGATCTATTCAAATCCTAGTTTATAATATCAATAGATTTGAATTTAGGTAAATATAAATGTAACAAAAAAACAGTTTCTGAAATTCTGTCCTTGCACCTACATCCTTAACAAAACACAATTTTTACGGGGAAACAATCACTGGTTTTATAAAAGCATGACATTTCTACAAGTAGGCCTATTCTTATAATCTTTACATCTAAGCTCAATAATGTTTTGACAACAAGTAGGCCTGCCCTCTTTAGTGTTGAGGGGTTTGGTGGCCGAATGGTTAGCACGTGGGCACTGTATCATAAGGCCTGTCATTGAGTCAACTGGCATGGTTTCGATTCCCTGGTGGTACGTGACAAGGAGTAGGGTAGGTAGGGTCGCCTGTCCAACTTCGTGGGTTTTTTTCCGGGTCCTCCGGTTTCCTCCCACTGTTAAAGAGCCCTACATTGTACGTGCAAGCGAGTTATTGAAATAAAATTGAACCATGTGTTAGTCCTGAAATGACCAGGTTTGTGTCGAGTGGTTAGCGTATGTGCGTTCAGACTTATATCATCAGGTCTGTCATTGAGTCAACTGGTGTGGTTTCAATTCCCCAGTTGTACGTGACAAGGAGTAGGGTCACCTGTCCAGCCTCATGTTTCCTCCCACTTTTAGAGACCCCTACGCACAGGAGAATTCTTGAAATAAAATTGAACCATATTTTAGTCTCGAAATGACTATATACTAATACATACACACAAATTTTCAAATGTCTTTTACATGTATTTATTCGCGGAGCCACGGTGGCTAAATAGGTAAGACACTGGCTCGCTAGCCTGGACGTCAGAGGTTTTTCTCCCATTGTTGGCCGATACAGTTCTTTGGATTTTCCGGCGTGGTTTCCCCTTGTCAGTGGTACAGGACGGAGAGTCTGACAAGGACTGCTGTCTAATCGTTCGGATAGTACAGAAAAAAAGAGGTCCACGCAAAAGATCCCCTGGCAGTTGGAATTAGATATATATAAGAGTAGGCAGTAGCAAATTTTTCCTTATACTTATAGCATACTGTAAGGTGTATGCCCATCTTCATTAGCCTCGTCAGAGCAGAACAGTAGGACGGTAAACCCATTTCATTTCTTTTATAATGAAATAAATACAATGTACTTGTATGTTAACCAAATAAAACAGGATTCATTAACATATGGGAGCCACAGTGGCTCAGAGAGTAAGGTGTTGGCTTGCTAACATGGAGGTCTTGAGTTTGTTCCCTGTGACAAAGTTCATCAGGATTTTCCAGTGTGGTTTCCCCTTGTCAGTCATGTACATGTAGGACAGAGGGCCTGGCAAGAGATATTGGTGTGCACTTAAAAAAATGCTTGGCAGTTAGAATTCTATATACATGTAAGAACGCCACTGTCAGGAAAAATGCCCCTCATCACACACTGCATGGTGTATACCCATCTTCATTAGCCCAGTCGGACCACAACAGTAGGATGTTAATCCCCATTTGGTGTATGTATTTAAAAGTACATTTTAAAATCCGTTGTTTTTATGACTCAGTATGGTTGATGTCAGATTATTATCTAATTTATACAAAGTGGAGTTATTTTAGATGATTTTTGTTGATAAATTTTTATTTCCTGATATGAAGGGTCTAGAATAACATTCTTTTCTTATGATGAATTGCAGTATTAAATAGACAAGGGTTATGTCCCTTGTGGAGAATGTCATACTGATTGATGTGTTGGAGAGTAATGTCTATTTTAGTCAACCATTTGTCATCACTACAAGTCATAACTACATTTGTATATTAATAATAATAATGACTTTATTTGCTGAGGAAACATATTTATTACATAAAAAATATTTAGTGAAATGAAATGAAATGGGGTTTAATGTCCTACTGTTCTGCTCCAACTGGGTTAAGGAAGACAGGCATACGTTCATACAGTGTGCTTAGAGTGGAGAGAAATTTTGCCCGACAGAGGTGCTAAGACCTACTATTAGTATTATATCAAATTCCAACTCTCTCTCTTTCTCTCTCTCTCTCTCTCTTTCTCTCTCTCTCTCTCTCTCTTATTTACAAAATGCATATATACATGTAGGCAACAATGTATCATACATGTACATGTATATCAAGAAATGAAAATAAAGTACAAAAAGATTATTTAGCAAATACATGTAGATATGTATACATTCTTCAAATGACAACAGTAATTAATATTGGGGACTAAAGGATTTGACATGCTTAGTAAAATTACATGTACAGTAGTATTTAGAACATTTTAATAGATCACCCCCAAAAATACTACATAGTTGTTTGGATGGGATGGAATATCAAGGTTCACATTGGTACTGTACTTGTTGGCGGGCGTGTTAAAGCACCACTGACAGTTGGTCATTGAGAGTGGAAATTCAATGAAGAGTGGAGCCATGGTGGCTAAGTGGGTAAGACGCTGACTCGCTAACCTGGAGGTTGCATCTCGCATGTTCGATCCCTGCATTGGCGGAGAAAGTTCATCAGGGTTTTCCGACATGGTTTCGGCATGACAAGGACAGCTGTCTAGTGGTTTGGATGTTACAAAAAAAATTGAGGTCCCATGTATACATCGGTGTATACGTAAAATCTCCCCTGACAGTTGAAATTCGATACAAGAGTAGGCCATAGTGCCGCTGCCCGGGCAAAATTTCCCTCATAGCGCACCTTATAGCGTATGCCCGTCTTTTTTAGCCCAGCAGAACAGTAGGACGTTAAACCCCATTTCATTTCATTTCATTTTTTCGATGAAGAGTAGGTGTAAATGCAGAGATTTTGAAAAGAAATTCCATCATATATTTACATATACATGTATATCACTGTTTGGCCGTTTTCATTTAACCCTGTTGAAGCAGATACATGTAAGTGTGAGAGAGAGAATCTTTAGCAGTGTGAGGAAACTGGGGAATCGAAACCACGCCAGTAGACTTATTGAACGACCTTATGATACAGCAGGGGGTTGGATGGCTGAATGGTTAGCGTGCGCGCGTGGAATCATAAAGTCTGTCATTGAGTCGACTGGCATAGTTTCGAATCCCCGGTTGTACGTGACAAGGAGTAGGGTCGCCTGTCCAACCTCGTGAGTTTTCACCTGGTCCTCCAGTTTCCTCCCACTGCTAAAGACCCCTACGCGCACGCGAATTATGTAAATAAAATTAAACCATATGTTAGTCCCGAAATGACCTAATTTGTGTCGAGTGGACGTTAAACCCCATTTCTCTCTCTTTATGATACAGCGCGCACATGCTAACCATTCAGACATCCAATCCCCCAAGCAGATAAGTAGTAAATGTACATACATGTACCTGTATGTTAAACTCTATTTCATTACTTTTCCCCGACGTGGTTCCACCTTGTCAGTGGTGCAAGACGGAGGGCTTGACAAGGATGGGACGAAAAAATGAAGTCTCATGTATACATTGGCGTGCACATTAAAGTTTTCCTTTGGAATTCGATATAAGATTAAACCATAGTGTCGCTGCCCAGGCAAAATTCTCCTCGTAGCACACTGTATGACGTATGCCCGTCTTCATTAACCCAGTCGAAGTAGAACAGTAGGACGTTGAACCCCATTTCATTTCCATTTCATTACATGTATCTTGCCATGTTTGTGTATTACCATGACGATTGTATATTAATCACAATGGACAACTATAGATAAGACAACATGCCCCTCTGATGTCATCAATTTGACTATCTGTTTCAATTGTCCAATGAAATTGTCTGTTTTATCACTCACTATCAGACTTTCAATGTTTAAATAGATATTTTTGTTGGAAACCCGCAGATTTTAATTAAACTGTTGAAGAAAACATGACAGTGATTGATCAAAAATATGGCATTGTCTCCAATCAGACGAACAAATAAATTTGTCCGCAAATTGATTGGCAAGGTAGTGTACATGTATATGATATAGCGTGGTACAGCCACAACAGTGAAGTATTTATAATGATCTACATGTGTCTATTGAGGTGTACAGTACACATACTTCATACTTGTAAGTTATTTCTTATCAAGATCAAAATGTAAACATTAGAATAGAATTTTGTGTTCAAAATTGTAAGAAATCCTCCCCCCACCCCTCCTCAACCCAATAACATGGTACATGTAAATAAAAGTAATAAGCTTATCGTACATGTACATGTAGCTATAGTCTGTCACTTGGTGATTTACATTTAACTCGTCTGCTTCTTTATTGTGAAAGCAGATGTTAGACGTGCACATAGAAGATGAAAATCCCTTGGCGGTTGGAATTTGATATAAGAGTAGGCCGTAGTGCCACTGTCCGGGCAAAATTTCACTCTTAGCGCACTGCATCTTGTATGCCTGTTTTCATTAACCAAGTCGAAGCAGGACAGTGGGACATTGAACCCGATTTAAATTCAAGGAGTATTTATTTTTAATAATAATAGTGAGGAGTGACCTACGTGTATATCCTATTTATTTGATGTTTACAAGTGAATAATAGTCCAGTTTTTGTCAGTAAGTTGTATTACGTCATTTTCATGTCTATTTACATGTATATGTATTATTATTGTAAGAAATGCCTTAGTTGAATTATTCCATCATTTGTGGGTCAGTTGAATCGTTGAGTTCATACCCTGTATTATCCATAATATTCTAAATCGAAAACACAAATTAGAATTCAATCTTAATCCATTTCAATCAATATTGATGTTATTATCTTACCATGAAAATATAGGATTGTAATATTCAAATATTTAAGACACAAAGAATAGATCTACATGTACATGTATACACCCTTTAAATTATGTTGTCCATATGAATAACAATGAACTAAACATTTCGTAATAAGGTCATCACATTACAAAGGCCGCCCACACTTGAGATTAAAGAAAGCAATAGTTTATTAATTACTCTGGTGTTAATCACACAGCGCACATGTACATGGTGAGTCTGGTTATTAAATTGTCATCCTGTTACAGTTTTATAAATTCTAAATTATCAAATAATAATTTTAGTTGTGGGAACAATTGAGTTATTTGATATGCATCAAATATTACCAAAAATCTCCATGTTTTTGCAATAAATGTATATGTTGATAATGTGGTATTATTGGGCTCCACCTAGTTTGAGAATTTCTAGAATATGTGGGAATGTGGGAGTTGATGTAATTTAATTCACAAATCACCCTTTCTCACTTGTGGCTGTTTTTCATCATTGATACAAAATATTTTTGACTTTTATTGTTTGGGTTTATGTGATTATGGTTCCATAAGACCAACAGAAACAATCTGAAATTGAAATAAGTAAATGTATGTAGATTTTATCTCAAATTTATGTTTAGTTTGAATATGGAATATTTTATATAAGAAAAGCTGTGAATTAAAAAGCCAGGCCCTGGTTTCACACAGCTTTCTCAGACTAAGTTGAGAATTTACTCAACTTTCAATCACTGTTTATGAGAAATATCTTTCATCCAGAAAAACAGAACTCCGTACATACCAGTAGTTTCTTATTGATGTATTTGATGCATTAAAACAACAAAAGTTAAAATAAGGCAAACAATTTTGAATAAATTCTTAAGTCTGAGAATGTTTTGTGAAACCAGGGTAGATAAAAGATTGAATGTAGCCGTGGTTAAAGGAGCTAAATCGCTAATATTTGGGACCTAGAAATTGACCCAAATAGGTCGCAACGCATATAATAATGTAATGTGATTGTATATAAACTGATTTACATTCAATTGTTTCCGTTTTGACTCTAATTTCAAATCAGTTACGTCCAGCGAAATGCGGCATGAGTCTCAACCGAATGGCAATTTCTAGCGTCTGGTTATTCCAGTCTATTGCGCATGCTCTCCGGATAAAATATGGCCTGACCGTTTGATATGAGATGTGGAATATGTCTAGCCTTGTTCTTTCTGGTCACTTGTTACAAATGAAGCTGAAATGCACTATGGTACACGATTCATGTACCAATGGTAAAATGTTTATTTTGTCTTAAATATTGGATATCTGAAGCCTACCTTTACCCGGTAAGATCACAACATCAATGTTGATTTGAATTGACAACTAATTCGCGTTTTCAACATGTAAGACTTTGGATGATATATACATATAGTGTGTGTGTGTGTGAAATATCTTTGATTAGCGCCCACTTCCACCGAAGCGATATCACCCAACATAGTAATATACACTGTAACCTGGGTATCATTTAATCTTGTGTATCTAGAACTGATTTCTTTCACATTCATTCAATATCATATCTATGTTTAAAAATTCGTAAAAATCGTTAAAAATCACCTCTAATTTACTGATCTAGATTGTCACGCTCCAAGCTCTAGCTGGGTGGTTACCTCTCTCTTGTGGTCGCTGCTTTGATCACTGATGTCAGCGTATATGTGACTTGGATATAGGACAGTGGTGGGCCAACGTTTTAGGTGAAGGGCCAAACACAAGTGACGTCAATAAGGCAACTACGTCACTGAGTGATGCTTCAAGCTATCCTGTTTGGGCCGAGCAATAAGCAATTCCAATTTTTTATTTCACTTAAGAGATAAAATTACTCAAAAATTTCAAGCTATCCTGTTTGGGCCGAGCAATAAGCAATTCCAATTTTTTATTTCACTTAAGAGATAAAATTACTCAAAAAATTTCAAATGTAGCGGAAGGGTCTGGCGGGCCGGATAACTCTTTCTCAACCTCATGGGATTACTCCAGGTACTCCGGTTGACTCCCACAGTCGCCTGCTTGTTTGCTAAATATAATGAAATCAGACAACTTGTCTGCAATATTACCTTCGAACAACAACAACATTAACTGGAAAGAATGAATAATCAGATATCAAATAATTAAATTGTAAAACAAGATAGGTAGAATGTATAAGAGATATGAGTGTGGTGAGTAGATAGAACAGGTATCTAGTTAGAGTGTCTGATGGAGTAGGAAAGTGTATTTTATCTTATGCTATAAATGTTTGTAAATTGAATGAAATTTGTAGTAAATTAGATTGATAAATAACAGGTGTGTTTTATTATTCTAGTTTAACAATTTATAGACTATTGGTTACTTATACTAAATACCAACAATATACAGTAGATGTAGTATGTTGTAGACTATTGGTTAGTTATACTAAATACCAACAATATACAGTAGATGTAGTATGTTGTAGACTATTGGTTAGTTATACTTAATACCAACAGTAGATACCGTATAATATAGACTATTGGTTAGTTATATTAAATACCAACAATATGGATACCGTATTAATATTATAGACTATTGGTTATTTATAGTAAATACCAACAATATATGGATACCATATATTACACACTATTGGTCAGTTATACTAAATACCAACAGTGGATACCGTATATTATAGACTATTGGTTAGTACATGTACATGTACATGTAACTATACTATATACCAACAATGTAGATACCGTACATGTATATTATAGACTACTGGTTAGTAACTATACTAAATACCAATAATATACATATATAATATATATATACCATATATTACAGACTATCGGTTAGTAACTACATGGATACAGTATAAACGTTACGTTATAGACTATAGGTAATAGTTATAATACTACCAACAATATACAGTTGATACGTATATTATAGACTATTGGTTAATAACTACACTAGATACATACATGTAATAAATACCAACAATGTGGATATTGTAGCTGGCGTATCTGTAGAGACACACGTATACATCTGCTGGTCGATATGGGCTTTTGTCTATGCGCTCAATCTTGATGTGGGAAGTCAATGTCAACTATTTTACTATCATTCATCAATTTTTTACTTTCTTTCATTTAGATGAACCATAATATCATAACAATCTGACATCAATGTCAACTATTTTACTATCATTCATCAATTTTTTACTTTCTTTCATTTAGATGAAACATAATATCATAACAATCTGACAAACAAACACTTGAACGATTGACTGAAAATATAAAAATTAACAGTCATACATGTAAGAAGTAAATAAGGAAAACTTTCCCAACTGAAATCCTATTTGTGATAACCGAGGCTACCAGCAGAAAAATTTGACATGGAACGTCTGCAGCACTCAATGACACAATGATCGAGACTACGCTGCTACTGATTATCGACGAGGGATTTCGCCTGACTTTTTATCAAATTCACAATGAAAATTAAGTGACACTAATTATAATGGACACAATTCAATTCTGCAATTATCAAATACATGTATGTACAAACCATAATTTTAGGCCCTTGTATTTCGACTTCAAACTGACAATTTAATTTGGAACTATGGAATCATTCTGCCATGCTTTCTACGACGGCCATTTATCTTTCATCACGTGACAAAATTATAATGAGTTGTGGACAATCAGAATTTTGGAACTACCAAACGGTCAAAGGGGAAGAACCCCTGCCAAAATAACCTAAACAGACCACTATTTTTCTATAAAGCATATTTTGAACCTTACAGATGTACAAGTATTATATGTACGGTATATTATAGACTATTGGTTTAGTAACTACATGTATACCAAATACAAACAATGTAGATACGTGTACCATATATTATCGATTATTGGTAATACTAAATACAGTAGATAGATACTGTACATGTATATTATAGACTAAAACTTTCATAATTTAATATCTTTAACCTTTTTTTCAGGATTATCCAGTTTGTTAGTGTATAATTGAAGTTGATATTGTTTTTAAAAAAAGACAAGATGTCGAAGGCTAAAACGCAGCAACCAGCCGTTATACATAAAGTGATAATGGTGGGAAGTGGTGGTGTGGGTAAATCAGCTTTAACGCTACAGTTTATGTATGATGAGGTAAGCAGGAGTTATCTTCTCTTGATTGAAATCGGGTCACATATTGTGGCCTGTTCAGCTGTCCAGTGTCCAAATTATCTAATAAACAATAAGTATGCAATAACCCTTGGATATATGTACTATGTGTGTATGTGTTGTTGACAGGCAACCTACTTTTAATTAATTATCTGATTGGCCAAATCTTACCTATCACCATTGATCTACACCAATACATCCGTTCAATTCAATTTTAAGATGCTCTCTTTCACATACATGTATCTGGCTATTCATAAAAACGTCAGATGTTTATATCAATTCCAGTTGTCAATAACCCAGTCAGAGCAGAGCAGTAGGACGTTAGACCCCATTTCTTTTCATTTATATCATTATTCGTTTCATAGGGGGGTGGCTGAATGGTTAGCACATGCAAGCTGTATCACAAAGTCTGTCATTGAGTTAACTGGCGTTGTTTTGATTCCCCGGTTGTACATGACAAGTAGTAAGGTCATCTGTCCAACCTCGTGAGTTTTCTACGGGTCATCCAGTTTCCTCCCACTGCTATAGACCCCTACGCGCAAGCGAATTATTGAAATAAAATTAAACCATGTGTTAGTCCCAAAATGACCTAGTTTGTGTCGAGTGGACGTTAAACCTCTCTCTCTCTCTCTCTCTCTCTCTCTCTCTCTCTCTCTCTTGCTCTCTCTCTCTCTTCCTTCTATTATAGTTTATTGAGGATTATAATCCAACTAAAGCTGATTCATCAAGGTTTGCACACTCCTTGAAAATCCTGGAAAAATAAAATGTGATTTCCAGTACTGGAAAATCCTGGAAAAACAAGATTACCGGTACTCCTTGAAACTCGGGGAAAATTAACATTTGTGGTTTCGCTATATATTTTAAAATATAAAACTTGTCTTGTTTTCGTTAGAATTTTATACAGGGACTCCTGGAATCTGGTAAATAACTCCTGGAAAACTCTTGGAATTTTAAGTGTTTTGAGTTGTGCACACCCTGTAATCATGTATTTGTTTGTATTATAGTTTGTGGAGGATTATGAACCAACTAAAGCTGATTCATACCGTAAGAAAGTTATATTAGATGGAGAGGAGGTACAGATAGATATACTAGATACAGCCGGACAGGAAGACTATGCAGCCATCAGAGATAATTATTTTCGTAGTGGTGAAGGATTTCTCTGTGTATTTTCTATAACAGAACAAGAATCTTTTCAAGCAACAGCAGATTTTAGGTAAGGTCATTATTACTAACTTCTTATTCCAGCTGTCTAGTCATTTGGATGGGACGAAAGACCAAGGGCCCATGTACACATTGGTGTGCACTTAAAAGATCCCTTGGCAGTTGGAATTCTATATAAGAGTAGGCCATAGTGCTGCTGGCCAGGCAAAATTTCCTTCATAGCACACTGTATGACGTATACCTGTCTTTATGTCATTATCCCAGTCAGAGCAGAACAGTTGGATGTTAAATTTCATTTCATTTCTTATTCCATTATCTTGGTTTTCACATTTTTATTCACCATCAATCAAATATTGTCGTTCGTGGATATTAGGTAAGATCATTATTACAAACGTTGTATTCTCATATTTTTATTCAGCCATGATGAAATGTAGTCGTAGATTCCCATCTTTCCTGGCTGGCTCTCCAACGGTCTATCCATCATCCACAATTTCTTGACTACATTTATCATCTAGCTACAACTTATAGGCTGTCTACTGACTACATTTAATCTAGCTACAACTAGCTGTCTACTGACTACATTTAATCTAGTTACAGCTTATAAGCTGTCTACTAACTACATTTAAAATCTAGCTACAACTAGCTGTCTACTGACTACATTTAATCTAGCTACATGTATAACTTATGGGCTGTCTACTAACTACATTTATCATATAGCTACAACATATAGGCTGTCTACTGACTACATCTATCATCTAGCTACAACTTATAGGCTATCTACTGACTACATTTAATCTAGCTACAACTAGCTGTCTACTGACTACATTTATCATCTAGCTATAACTTATGGGCTGTCTACTAACTACATTTATCATATAGCTACAACATATAGGCTGTCTACTCACTACATTTATCATCTAGCTACAACATATAGGCTGTCAACTGACTACATTTAATCTAGCTACAACTTATAGACTGTCTACTGACTACATTTAATCTAGCTACAACTATCTGTCTACTGACTTCATTTAATCTAGCTACAACTATCTGTCTACTGACTACATTGATATTGATAAGAAGGGTTTAGCTACAACTTGTAGGTTCATATGGAAGAACAGTTTCCAATACATGTACGTTCTTGGCACTAATTATTTACATAGTTTTAAATCAGAATTCTTTTGATTTGAGATTTTAAACCACCCACTGTTGTTCATTGTTTCATTGACTGTGGTACTGTTATTCTAGAGAAAACGTCTGAATCACGTTTTCAAATTTTTATTTTAAAAGCTTCGATTTTAAGAAGACTTTTTTTCTGAGAACGGAGATTTCTTCTGGTAGTATACATGTAGGTCTCAACAAATCTATTTATACACCAACATGGGGATGTGGTCATATATTGCCATCCCCTCGTCCCTGTGGGATGTTCACAATTTCCTGTGAACAATCTACAGACATTTTATCATCCAATCTTTTTGTCCCCCGCCTTTCGAAGAAAGCAGGGGACTATTAAAATGGGTTCGTCCGTCTGTCTGTCTGTCTGTCTGTCTGTCTGTCTGTCTGTCCGTCTGTCTGTCCGTCTGTCTGTCCGTCACACTTTTTGGGACACAATAACTCTCTTCCTAATTGAGCTAGAATGTTCAAACTTGGTGTATGTGTTTATTAGGTCAATGCCTTGATGGAGTTCGAAGATGAGCATTTTCCGCTTAGGGTAAGCAGAGATAAGCAATTTGATTGGTTGATGCTTTGGGACACGATAACTCTCTTCCTAATTGGGCTAGAATGTTCAAACTTGGTGTATGTGTTGATTAGGTCAATGCCTTGATGGAGTTCGAAGATGAGCATTTTACGCTTAGGGTAAGCAGAGATAAGCAATTTGATTGGTTGATGCTTTGGGACACGATAACTTTTAATTGAGCTAGAATGTTCAAACTTGGTGTATGTGTTTATTAGGTCAATGCCTTGATGGAGTTCGAGGATGAGCATTTTCCGCTTAGGGTAAGCAGAGATAAGCAATTTGATTGGTTGATACTTTGGGGCACGATAACTCTCTTCCTAATTGAGCTAGAATGTTCAAACTTGGTGTATGTGTTAATAAGGTCAATGCCTTGATGGAGTTCGAAGATGAGCATTTTCCGCTTAGGGTAAGCAGAGATAAGCAATTTGATTGGTTGATGCTTTGGGACACGATAACTTTAGTTCTAATTAAGTGAGATTGATGAAACTTGGTGTATAGTTTCATTACAGTAATACCTTGACTAAGTTTGATAATGAGCATTTTCTGCTCAGGGTAAGCAGAGCGATACGCAATTTGATTGGTCGAGACTTTGGAAAACAATAACTCTCCTACTTTGATTGTTAGACTATAAGTAAAGATATACTGTTTGATTGTTCAATACTTTGTAAAAGATAATTTGTGATAAATTTATATGTGTCCTCTAATTATTTTCCTATTTCGGCGGGGGACATCAGCCTCACTGTTGGCTTGTTAAAATTTATATATGTTGTTTACATTAGTGAGATGATGAATCCTATAGAATTTTATCAATTTCCATTTATCACTCCTTGAGTTATGGTCCTTGTTTTATTTGGTAAAACTTTGCGAACACTCTAAAAACAAAAATTATCTGATTTGTATGAAATTTATATGCATTATTTAAATTAGTGAAACAAAGAAGCCTATTGAATTTCAGCAATTTCTGTTAATTAGTTCTTGTTTCACTTTGCAGAACCTTCTGAATGCTCTAATAAAAAAAAAATTGGCATTCGATCTGATTTAAATTTATGCATTACTTAATTTAGTAAAAAGATTTTGCCTGCTCTAACAACTTAGCTGATGTGGGCTGGGAAAATGTTTTGTTGCCTGGCAACCCATCTTTTTTCAGACAGGTATATTTAATAATTTTTGTTTCTGACAGTCTATGGTGTTACTCATCCTTACTGCACATGTTAATGTACATGTCTAAGTTAATTTCAATGTGAAATAATGTTTATATTTTGTTTTAGTGAATCATGCCTCATATATTCTAGATCACTGTTCTGATTAATTCACATTAAAATTGCCTTATCAGTATTCGACCAAATTTAACCATGTACATTCAGCTTCTCTTGTTGTAAATATATACATGTAGTGTATATAATCATGATACGTAAATTTCATACAACTATGCATGCCCAAAACACTGTGTAATGTACACTAGGGTTGGACAATAATGAAAAAAAAAAAAATAATTCATCAAATATCACGATACTTCAGCTTTTGAGGTAGTGTGTCTATTCTTCCTAATCTATAGCAACATGACATGATTGACATGCCTTCGTTTAATCTGGGGTCTTCCCTAAAATTTTGGACAGTGATTTAAAGATGGGTACCCAGAAAAGTATGTATCGGGTGGTTATTTCCAATAAAAGTATGGCAATTTTAGTATATATGGAAAGTAGAGATATCCAATTTTACTAGAAAAATACTAGATTCACCGAAAAACACTCATGGAGCGTATACAGGACAAAAATGTAAGGATTCCCCTAATCAACAGCCCGACGATTAAGAATTTCTGCACACGTGATGTCAAAGGTCATACGCAAACATTGAGCGCTTGATGTACAAGTTGATAAACTTTATGAAGAGTTCGACGTGCAACACTTTCTGAGATAAAAATGACGGAAAAAGACACAGGTAGTGGATAATCCGAGAATTAAATTAGGATTCGTTATTTGTAATAAATAGTAAGCGATTAAAGACAACATCGTCTTATGTATGCAATGAATTCTCCTCTGATTTCCAAGACGTGACGTAAACATGACCTGGTTTGATCGAATTTTAATAGCAGGGCATTCCTTCGCAATTACAATGTTTGAGATGGATTTGAAGCATAATTATGACAAATTAATTAATTTGAATATGTTTTTAGTCCATATATACCATTAAATCACCCAGTTTGTACGCGGGAACCCATCTTTAAGATATTAAAAACGGTGAAAGTGTTGTTCGTCTCAACAAAGTATTGTTTTCATTGTATTCATTTTGATAGCCTCGTTTATCACGCAATTAGTTTTTCTGCAATATTCTGCTATGCACTGTTTAATTGGGCATAATAAAATCGGGAGTCGTGACGTAACGTATGTAAACATATTTGGGCCAATTTGGAGCTCTGTTTAAAGCATAATGATATTGTTACGCAGTTAGCTATTAGTTGTTAATTGGACTGTTGACCAGTCATAATTTGGAATAGAAATTTGCTTCCTTTACAGCAGTGTTAAGTGGGATTAGGTATAATCAAACGAAACACTGCGAGGAGTATAAACTATCCTGTGCTTGTATATAACAGATTCCGCAATGGTCACTATGGATGAATCAATTTTCTGTATGACTTTGGTCTTGTCGTTGTATAATTCTAACATGCTTGACGCCATCCAAGATATGATTTTCTGAGTACATGATAATGTCACATGGAATGATTAGTTAGTATGTTGAGTTGACTTGATGGCATCAATTATCTGGGTATCATTGGCATATGAATGGTGGGAGAGTTGATGTGTAATGATGGATGCAACTTGACTGGTGTATAAGACAAATGACACAGGGCCTAACTCAAAGCCTTGAGGTACACCACAAGCTAATGGTGTTTTTTCTGATAACTCATTACCAATAAGTACAGATTTGTATCCAGGATATTATAAAAGAAATAACATAAATATTGAGTTTTGCATCTCACTTCAGACAGAAATGTAAAAGAATATATGTAGTACCAACATCAGATTAAATATCGAAATGCTTTCTTATTCCTCAGATTCAGAGTGCCAATGATATACATGTATATTGTTGACTGTAATAGGATTTAGAGTTAGACTGGATTAGCTTGATTACATGTAGTTCTATCAGACAAGTGTATGAAAATAAAAGATAGCCACTTACGGTCTCAGAATGCTGAAAATCATCAATGTTTGATCACAATGCTTTAGATTAAATTTTTAAAAAAGTAATATGTCCAACCTGAAATCAAATGGAGTTTAAGGTCCTACTTTTCTGCACCAAGCTAAGTGAGTAAGATGCTG